CCTGCCTTTGATAAGAAATCCAGTACATTTCAACCCTTGAAATCCAAATTCGAACAGTGTACTGTTTTTATGGTTTTTAATGGTTCTGACTTTTTATACTAATCTCTAATTGGCCTTTCACACGTGTACTGTGCGTGTATTTCTTACATTGTAGATAAATAGATAGGTGGATAGATATCCCCACTTTAGGTCAAATAATGACCTTTTCAACTCTTCTTTCACTCCTCGCAGCATTCACACACTTTCATAGACATAAAGTCGAAGAGATGACAGCTGTTTGTGTAACCTGAATCGCAACCTCTCCTCTGTATCCTTTCACCCTGAATCATTCTGTTCTAAGGATGGCAGGAACCTATGATGGACTGAACAGCTCTTCATATGGATAACAACTTGACTGTTGTTATCCATATGCTCAAGACAGTTGGAAAAACACAAAGCCACTCACCTGTATTCACCACCAAATCCAGTTTACATTAAAGATCAGGTTTTTTGTATCCCGTTCCATTTTTTTCTTACAGAAAAAAATGGAACGGGATACATTGATTCTGTAAGAATCAATGTAAAACCATCATTGATTTATATTTCTTTCTGACATTGGTGCTTTATTACTTAGTAGCAGAGCTGTTATCACAACATCCGTGTAAGGAAACCATTACTATAAAATAAGGTTTGGCTACCGTTTCAAAGCTATGGTAACCATATTGTGGGTGTGTTAGTTGGTATAGTTAGCATTATTAAGATGTTCATCTGCGTGTATGTCTACTCACAAATGTAGATCCATAAAATAATGGTAAGATTCTATCATTTACTGCTCAAACTACTACAAAGGATAAAAGCAATTCACTTTTATGTATTGCCTTCAGCCTTCCTGTTATCTGCTGAAAGTCTTGCTCTTGTTTTTTATGTGAGAGCTCTGATTATTCAAACAAAAGGCTTTCTTTAAAACAGGTTCAATGCTTTCTGTGCTTTACCTTAATTCTGATGAAGGACTTATTTTCTGTAATGCATACACACCGAATAGTGTTCAGTTGGACCAGCGTTACATTAGTTAACACTTACACCATATATGCGCCAAATAACAAACACACAAACATTTTCTATATGTAGGGTGTGTGCTTATTTATTGTGGAACAAATCCTTGCCTCAAGCAACTGAAATGCTCTGTCGACTCTTACGCCACTAATTGATGTGTTATGTTTTGTTAAAGGTTTGTGTTAAAGATTTGTTTTAAAAGTCTAGAAGTATTTAAGCGAAATTTAATGGCTACAATAGCCTATTTGTTCACTAGCTCACTGGATTTTTTGACTCTGTCAGTCAGATTAAGCTGTCTGATGAAAGTCAAAAGGAAAGAAGGCTCACATTGATAAAAAAAAACAATTCTATCCATATCTATAGATAGATATGTGTGTGTGTGTGTATATATATATATATATATATTTTTTTTTTTTTTTTTTATTTGAGCTTTCTTTCCCTCTTTTGCTCAGTCTATGACTAGGCTGATTCACTACCAGAGGCGTTATAATCCATGATCTCACCCGGCTATAACTTTGGCCAGCAGCAGACAGGAAGCCAAAGCGACCCAGAGCAATGGCTGCTGAAGGGTGAATGGTGAGAGGAGTGCTTGAATGTAACAGAGAACCTCGCTGTATTTCCATTTCTAGTCACAGATTGTTATATTCCTTATGGCCATGTAATGCTCATGTCCATTTCTGATGGCAACAGTTTCTGGGGTTGTGAGGATGTCTGAGGAAGCAGTTATATCAAGCATGATGGTAAATCGTTTTACTTATCAGTGTTCCTCCTGTCTGCAGCTGCAGACTTAGACATGATACTTGTGGGAGTTTTTAACTGAACTGAATGTTGAGCCGATTGTCACTCTCGGTCGCTGCCCTTATGGCTCTGCTTTAGTCCATTCCCTGAACTGAAGTTTATAAAGATTATAGGAAGAGGAATTTTTTCCAAGGTTGTTTTGGAAAGAAAATATTATCTGTAAATTAGTAGCTTAGTAAGTCGATTTGTTTTTTTTTAATAGGGCAGCATGATTTTTGCCCAAAACCACAAGCATAAACATGTTTGACCTTAGAGTTTTGTTTTCATGGCCTTGAAAGCTCTCGCCTAGAGCCCATCACCACAGGACTTTAATGTTGTTTAAATCGGCCATAAACCAACGTAAACAATTTGACTGCCACCTAAAGGGTTGGAGGGAAGAATAAAAAAGTTGTAATATAACATTAACATAACGTAAAGAAAATGAATATTCATAAATTTAGTTGATATTGTTAATACAATTAATAGTCCTGTCCTAGGTAATACAGTCTCTTGTAATAATGCTAAGCCAGTATGCCAATAATTTACCAGACTAAATATTGCTAAGGAATGCCATAACTCTTTTCTAATTAATTCAAAAGGACATGAGTTCACAAGTTGCATGTCAGTGTAATATTCATCCTGTTGGATGTAGTCTAATGTTGGGTGATTGAACAAATCTATCGACCATGGACAACAGACACGCCCTTCAACGATTGTTTTCTTAACAGCTTTTTTTAATGTATTTTTTTCACCGTGCAGCAGCAACTTATCTACTTAAACTAGAGACGGAAGAACTGGTCAAAACTACAGACTAGCTTTTTTAATTCAACAATCAACCCAAAACCAGTAATAGTCTTTTTTTTTTTTTTTTTTTTTTTTTTCAGAGAGAAAATATGGTTTATTTACAACATACATCATTACCTATATGACCATTATGTGATGGTCTGATTTTGTTTGTCCACTTTTGTATTTAAAAAGAAGCTTATCTTAAAAAAAAAATACCACATTATAAATGTTTCCCCTTATTTTCAAACAAGCACAAGATTTCCTTCTGCAGAGTCATAATACATTGATTCAGACACTGGTTTACATGAAGATGTTGTCCCTCTTCACCATCTTTATTTTTCTGCAAAATTGCTATGTTTCCTTCCCTCTCATTGTAACCTCCCAGGCTGACTAGTTGGTGTTTTTTTTTTTTTAACTGTTACTTGTTATTAGGGCTGTTCCTAATGATTATTTTGCAAATCGATTAATCTGTCAATTATTTCTTTGATTATTAAACGGATAGCTAAAGATTCCTTAAAGGAGACTTTTTATGAAATCAAACGAGTTGAAACTCAATCTTTTCAAATTGAGAACTCCTGGATAGAGCATAATAAGAGACAAAACTTTTTTTGTCTTAATTGCAAAATATTTCCATGTATTTTTTACAAAGTTTCTCCTCTATACTCTCTGTTGACATAATAACTCCTCATGAAACCAGCTATAATGTCGTTGTTTGTTTTGAACTAGCAAAGGCAGCGCATTTATGTGTGGAGAATTATTTTGGCCTCCATATGCATGTGACTGATTTGACCTATTTGGAAACTGAAAACTAGGTCAAATGCATGTTAAAGGTAAGGAGGTGCCAAATGGTACAGATCCAGTAACTCTGCAGAATATTAAATCAGCTTTGTGTAAAAAAAAAACATCCCTTACCCTCACAAAGCAGCCTGTGCTACTTTTTCTTTCTGTAGATCACAAAATACTTTGATTTTTTTTCTTTCCAAGTGTACTATTAAAAAGAAGAAGCGTTCATTCCGCTTATCCCTCGTGCAACTATGAATGAAGGGGTATCGCTACTGGGACCATTGCTCATCAACATTTTTAATGGGACACACAGCCATCTTTGGCTGCCTCAGCGCTCTTTAGCTTCTACTCAGGGCTGAAGATGAGGAGGATTAAGGGCGGGGAGCAGGAACAGAGAGGAGGATATGTGCACCACACGTTGATCGATGGTGCAGATGAAAGCTCTGTGCGGCTGGAAGTGTGTTGCGTGCCGTTTCCCTGCTGTTGATGGCTGTTCAGCATTTAGTGTTTTTGTGCTGCTTGCTCTGGAATACCTGATCCGGCTGTCGTCCCGCTGAGCGGAGATCATGGCAGATAGAGTTGTAATTTTGTCACTGATAAAACCCACACTTCCTGCTGACTCCCAGGCCTATTATTAGCTTTTTATCTTATGAACTACTTATAATGGGCTAGAGATGTAGAAAGCAATAAAAAGGTGAAAGCAGCCATGAGTGAGCAGTTGTTGAACAAAGTTCTCATTCTTTAAATGCATGTTTCTGTCACTCCTGTAAATGCATCAAATTGGTAAAGGAGTTAGTGATGATTGTTAGTCGAGCACAATGGAGTAATCGCATTACTGTGTTTATTCCTCCAGAGTCAATACTAAGAGTAACAATGTTTTGCTGTAACTGCATCAGCTACAAGCCTTTTGGGAGTTCGTCTCCTAGATTTTCACATGCTCTGACATTGTAGCTCTTCCTGTTTTATAAAAATAGCTTAAGCTCAGTCGGATTGGATGCAGAGTGTCTGTGTACATCAGTTGTCTTGCTAATGCCTCCATTAAGTCTGTGTTTAGCACCATCTCTTTCCATCAGTTCTGAGCGGCTTCCCTGCCCCTACTGAAGTAAAGCATCCCCACTGCATCTTGTAAAGTATTCACTTTTTAAATTCAGCTGTTTCCATCGTCTGCATATGCAACAAATTAAAAAGTAATCTAACTATAATAAGCTAGAGTTGGTGTGCCACAGATCTTTTTGGTGTCATTGCTTTCATTATGGCCACGTTTATCTGCTCTGTTCCTGCCTTTCACACGCACACAGCTGGAAGAATCTTGACTGTCCAGCAGATTTATATGCAAGGCAAACAGAACAGATGAAATGCAGATGCTGCACATACTTCATAAAAAAAAAAGAAAAATCCCTGGTTATATCCCCATCTTAAGATTCCAATTTCGTTCCGGCATCTCGCTTGTGTCCACATCTGATCCTTTCTTTAGCTCAGTTTCACAAGAGCATTATTGTGCTGTCGAGCTTTAGTACTTCATTGAGCTTGTGCCATCTGTTTAAAGATAATTTCTTCCCCCTAAAGCATGTTTACGCCATCACTGACCACTCGACTTCCTCTTGTTTTCCGTCTGTCCACAGATTCTCAACGGTCCCATCTGTCCACTTTCACCATGATACTAAAGGACAAATTCCACTCCCCCAAGATCAAGAGGACTCCATCCAAGAAGGCAAAGCAGCTACAGCCAGAGCCAGCAGCCAAGAGTACAGAGAAACCTGCCAATAAGGTGATAATGCACCTTGTTACCCAACTCTTATGAGAAATTGATCTCTTTACATACCTTTTGAGTGTGTTTGTGAGTTTGTTGTTTTCCTGTTTAGTGTTTTGTTTTCCTCACATTGAGCTGTTCTATGTGAGATTTTCCCTGTGAGTTCCCACAGAGTTTCAAGCATAATGGAAGCTGGCTCCACTACAGCAGGCGTTTTAACTTTGCCTACTTCCCATATTAGAATCTCTGGTCCATCTGTAGCCTTTAAAAGTATTAGATGATTTTTCCAGCGTATTGCAGAGGTGTTAGGGACACTTATATTTTGATTGTCTCAGACTAGCTCTGAAACATTTAATCAGCTTAATCAATTATTGAGATAATCATCAATTTATTAATCAATTAATCATTAACTGGTGACCCGCTAACACATGTAATAAGCTTAAAAAACAGCTCACTCAATGCATTATTTATGCCAGAGTTGTAAAAAATGTATAAGTTTTGTTTTTAAGATGATAATTTTTTTTTGTCCATTAATAAGCTATGTGAAGAACTCCTCAATGGGCATAGTTTTAGCGTCATCTGATTTAAATTCTGTCTAAATTCTTCTTTAAAATCCCTTTTTCTATTTAATTAATTTATAAAAATATTAACAGAAAGATCATTTAGCAAAATATATTAGTTGTTAGGTGCAGGCTTACTTCAGACCAGTAATAGTTTTGTTACAGATATCGAGAAAGTGTATATGAAAGTTTTTAAAATCTATTTACAAAACCATGAAAATGTTTTATGTCTTATATATTATTAATGAGATCCCAGTGAAAGAAAATGTCCTAGATTGTGCTTAGCTTTTATGAGACATATGGTCTTTATTTCTTGCTTTTCTGGCTTGACTCTGAGGTGAGGAAGGGAAGGACTAAGATTAAACAATTGTGTCTCGTATCTACTTTTAGTCTGTTGATTTAAAAATTAAAAAAAACAAATACCATAGTGGTCAATTGGATTATTTTAAGGCAAAAAAATGTTGCCCTCAACTAAAAAAAAAAAAAAAATGGAGAAGCAGATTAACTGAATATTGCAAATGTTTTTATGTTGGAAACAGAAAATACGAGTCCCTTTTCTACTTTATGTAAAAGATTTTTCTTCACAATAAATTGTTGTTAAAAACTTTAGATACAATGATGTTATTTTTAGGGAAGCTTACCATATAAAGTTTGTTATGATTGATAGCAGTGGTCCCCAAACATCTGAACTTTAGACTACGATTCAACTATTTGAAGGAAAACATTTAATGTCAATGTTATTACTAAAGCTTGCAGTTAAAACTCATTTTCTAGATTTCTTAATTTAGAAAATAATTTCTTAATTACACCAGTTTGGTCCATCTGACTGACCATATGCATTATTAATGTGAGAATTTAAATCTCTGACACATAAAATACAGCATCAAATACTGTTTCTAATCCGGCCTTTGTAATTGTTATCTGACATCCTGATATTTTGGTGATGATTGCAGTTTGATTTGTGCAGCTCTACTTTTTATTCTTGTAAGTTATTTAAAGGTATGCAGGGAATCTTAAAAGCTCTGTGTATTCCTGACCTTAGCTCAGGAAACCACTGACTTACAAATGTTATTGGCATTAAATATGTCAGTGGTAGCATTCAAAGCTATGATTTATGAATATATCCCTTTTTTCCTCTCTTCTGTAGAAGGTCAGCAGGCTTGAGGAGCAAGAGAAGGAGGTGGTCAGCGCTCTGAGATACTTTAAGACCATTGTGGATAAAATGGTGGTGGAGAAGAAAGTGCTGGAAATGCTGCCAGGCTCAGCCAGCAAGGTCCTAGAAGCAATCTTGCCTCTGGTCCAGGTAGAGGCCCGGATACAGCATAGGTAAGCCCTGCTTCTGTTGGTCACTCTTTGAATGTATGCCTGTGTAAAATTCTCTTTGAATGTAATAATTACTGGAAAGTTACTGTATATAAATATTTATTCAGCATATTATTCTTTGCCTTTTATTCTCTTTTTGTCATTGAAACCCCTCATAAAGTGGTTTATAGGATGTTTGCTTCCTCATTCCAGATTGTTAATGTTTTGTGAGGGATATGCGTCGGCTTCGGGTTTCTCATACTTTATACAGGTGCTGGTCATAAAATTAGAATATCATGAAAAAGTAGATTGATTTCAGTAATTCCATTTAAAAAGTGAAACTTGTATATTATATTCATACATTACATACAAACTCATATATTTCAGATGTTTATTTTGTTTAATTTTGATGATTACAAATGACAACAAATGAAAATCTCAAATTCATCATATCAGAAAATTAGAATATTGTGAAAAGGTTCAAAATTGATGGCCCCTGGTGCCACACTCTAATCAGCTAATTAACTCAAACCACCTGCAAAAGCCTTTAAATGGTCTTTCAGTCTAGTTCTATAGGCTACACAATCATGGGGAAGACTGCTGACTTGACAGTTGTCCAAAAGACGACCATCGACACCTTGCACAAGGAGGGCAAGACACAAAGGGTCATCGCTAAAGAGGCTGGCTGTTCACAGAGCTCAGTGTCCAAGCACATTAATAGAGAGACGAAGGGAAGGAAAAGATGTGGTCGAAAAAAGTGCACAAGCAAGAGAGATAACCGCACCCTGGAGAGGATTGTGAAACAAAACCCATTCAAAAATGTGGGGGAGATTCACAAAGAGTGGACTGCAGCTGGAGTGAGTGCTTCAAGAACCACCACACACAGACGTATGAAAGACATGGGTTTCTGCTGTCGCATTCCTTGTGTCAAGCCACTCTTGAACCACAGACAGCGTCAGAAGCGTCTTGCCTGGGCTAAAGAGAAACAGGACTGGACTGCTGGTGAGTGGTCCAAAGTCATGTTCTCTGATGAAAGTAAATTTTGCATTTCCTTTGGAAATCAAGGTCCCAGAGTCTGGAGGAAAAGAAGAGAGGCACTTCATCCACGTTGCTTGAAGTCCAGTGTAAAGTTTCCACAGTCAGTGATGGTTTGGGGTGCCATGTCATCTGCTGGTGTTGGTCCATTGTGTTTTCTGAGGTCCAGGGTCAACGCAGCCACATACCAGGAAGTTTTAGAGCACTTCATGCTTCCTGCAGCTGACCAACTTTTTGGAGATGCAGATTTCATTTTCCAACAGGACTTGGCACCTGCACACAGTGCCAAAGCTACCAGTACCTGGTTGAAGGACCATGGTATCCCTGTTCTTAATTGGCCAGCAAACTCTCCTGACCTTAACCCCATAGAAAATCTATGGGGTATTGTGAAGAAGAAGATGCAATACACCAGACCCAACAATTCAGAAGAGCTAAAAGCCACTATTAGAGCAACCTGGGCTATCATAACACCTGAGCAGTGCCACAGACTGATCGACTCCATGCCACGCCGCATTGCTGCAGTAATACAGGCCAAAGGAGGCCCAACTAAATACTGAGTGCTGTACATGCTCATACTTTTCATGTTCATACTTTTCAGTTGGCCAACATTTCTATAAATCCTTTGTTTTTATTGGTCTTCAGTAATATTCTAATTTTCTGATATGATGAATTTGAGATTTTCATTTGTTGTCATTTGTAATCATCAAAATTAAACAAAATAAACATCTGAAATATATGAGTTTGTATGTAATGTATGAATATAATATACAAGTTTCACTTTTTAAATGGAATTACTGAAATCAATCTACTTTTTCATGATATTCTAATTTTATGACCAGCACCTGTATCTGAAGCGTGATTTATTGCTTGATTTATTTATTTTTTAAATAACGCTGTAGGTACAATGATTATTCTTTAACATTTGAACCATTTAGTTTTACTTTCAATATTTCTGTCTTGCCCTTAAGCAGCCAAACCTTCAAAAGAAATTTACCCTGCAGTTTTTGTGGAGTGTCGGGGCATGTTAAAAACTTTTTTCTTATTTATCATGTGTGTCTCCACCAGTACTGATAGAGGAATGAAGGTCAGAGGCCACCACCCCTCACCCTGTTCCTTTAACACTTTAGAGTGACCTTAGTCCCTGGAGTTGAAGCCCAACTTGATTCCAGCTTAGATTTGTATAATAAATTTGAGTTTTGGCAACTTGTACTGCCTAATGGTAAAAAGTATTTTAACAGAGGTTGCTTTGGGGTACATCTTCTACAAACTCTTATTTGCAATAAAGCAGTGTTTTCTGGTAACTCCCTAAAAATTTGAACCATGCAAACCATGTTGCTCAAAGCTGCTGCTGTTTTAGATTTACCGTATCCCCCTTTGTTGCACTGCAACGTATAGCTCATGTCTTTTCAGTCCTCAAATCCTTCTAATTCCAGTAGATTCAGCCGTCTCCCACTCACTTCAGGGATAAGCCCTGCAGAGACGGTCGAAGAATATGCCTGTGTTGTGAATCTGTTGCAACACGTTGATACAGGCTTACACCACACCTTAGTATTGGGTCTGAATGCACAATGAACTGCTTGGAGAAACATCCCGCTTCTTTGTGTTGCTGTTTAGGCTGCGTTCAAGGCTACAAAGCTTATAACTCCTGAGTTTGTTGTCAGCCATTTGTATGAGACCAAACATATATTTTGTCTTAAAAAGATGCATTAAAGCAGAGTGCTTTGTAAAAGTTTGTCGTGTTTAATATATGGTTTTATTTGATGGGCCAACTCAAAGTCAGGCGTTTTTTTTTCATTTATCCTTGTGAAGCAAGATTCTGTAGATTTTTTTTTTTTTTTTTGCAGCCTCGGGTGTTTTAGAAAATGTTTCCTCAAGCTTTAGATATGTAAAGAAGGAATCTTTGCCAATTCTTTTTCACAACATTACAAAACAGTCGTGTTGGATTTAAACCTTGTTAGAAAAGCAGTTATGTAAAGTATTTTTTTTTTGCAATTACAGCTAAAAAGTGGCAAATTATTCACACTGTTGATGTGACTTCATCCTACTGAAGTCAAAATCTAACAAAGAAGAATATCTCTTTAATTAACTCTCCCTCAAGACTCCATTTACATTATGAAGTGTATGTTTCTTTGCTAAACACAAAAGTGCTATTTAATCATGTTTTGAAATAGCTTGCGTTTATATTTCACTGAAACAAACCTTATTACTTTTGATCACATCAGAAATGTTTAATGTTTAGCATTGTTCCTGATTTGTCGAGAGTAAAAGTAATAATTGACCCAAAAAAAAATATTTGTGTATCTCTGCAGCTCCTCTAGAGTAAAAACAGGCCCCTTGGCCTCCTTTCTGATTAATGTTCTTCTTGTCTGGACTTTGTAGATATTTGATCTTGTTTTAGTGGGTTTAAAGTCATCCTGAAATTTTTGCGTTTTGAATAACAGATTTAACATTTCTCTATGTGATGTCATATCTTAGGATATTGTTTGATAGCTTAACATTATTCTCTAACTTTGTGTATTTCAGCCCGACTTTTGTGGTGGGATTCTTGGTCTTTATTATTTTCATTATCTGGTGCTGTTTACTATCAAACTCAAAGGTAGCCTTGTTTATTTGGAGTTCTTATAAAGGGAGACTTTATATAAAAAGTGGTATATGTTTTTAATAATTTAAATTGGTTCTTGGTATGGAGTATAAGGGTAAAGTGGGTGAATATAATTAAAATGCCAAAATTTTTTCTTAATTTTTTTGCAAAAACTTCTGAATACATTTATTTTTTCTTTGCAATTCACAACAATACTAGATATAATTTTTTTAATAAATATTTTGTGTGTGTGTTGATCTGGATATGTTTCCTATAAGGTAAGCCGTTTGTTAGGTTTGCAACGTGCTGAAAATCAAGTAGTGTTCTTAGTTTTTAATTTTTTTTATTTACTGCCTTTTGAATATGTGTTCATCCAGGACCCGTTTTCAATTTTTTCACAAATCCCATTTTGTTTTCCTATTTCCCTGTGCTGCACATTTGATTTTCCTATTATTACTCTACACCACTTTATTCCTTCCTTCCTACCTCTTACTTGTTTCCTTTTAATGGCTTTATACACGTTAACCTTCACCCTGCCTCAATCTCTCATGCTTCTCTCCAGCTCGGCCCTGTCTTCGTGCCACAGCCGCGTCTATCAGAGTCTGGCCAATCTCATCCGTTGGGCAGACCAGGTCATGCTGGACGGCATCGACCTGGACGACAAAGAAAGTGTGATCGCAGTCACCAGCGTTATTAAGGCAGTGCTGGATGGAGTGAAGGTATTCTTTTTAGCTGTTTTTTTTTTAGCATTCTTTTCCTCACATGCATGAATGAGTCCCAAACTCTGCTGCACTTCTGCCAACAGGAACTGGTGAAACTGACCATTGAGAAACAGGAGCAGCCATCACCCACCACCCCCAATAAACCGGCACCACCTGTTACAGCAGCTGAGAGGTGCACATAGAGTTTATCCGCTTGAATGAAAGAAACACACAGGACAGTTGACTTACACAGGTGGCTTTTGTGTTTGCAGCAACGTTTCCGTGGAGGTGCCCTTGGTGGATACTGAGCAGGATGTCTCGAATCGGACAGCTCCAGCATCCTCTCCTGCTAAAGCTGCCCCTGAACTACAAGAGGAGGATGTTGCTCCACCCAAACCTCCTCTTCCTGAGGCCAAAGTGGCAGAACTCAGGTGACCACCTCACACCCCTTAAGCAGAATATTAGGCCTTCTAACTGCACAATGAAGATAATAATCAAGCAACACTTTGCTGCTTCTTTCCTACTGTTTTGTGTAATTTAAAAAATGTGAAATAGACAGGTATAAATTATAGCTCAGCTATAAAAGGGTTTTGTTTTCAGCATTCTTGCTGTTCAGTGTTATTTTTGATCCAGTGTATGTTCCCAAGATTTGCACAACTTCTAAACCTTTTATGAGCTGTCCCACCATCTTTCTTACTCTTCCCGCTGTGTCTCTTATTTTCTTTGTTTTGTTTCATCCTTGGTCTCCATTCTGGAAACAGAGCACAGTTGAGTGCTGACGCTGGCCAGAGGAGACCCTCTCAGAAGGAGAAGTATGTCAGGCCATAGGGTCGTCCTATTTCATAATAACATCCCACCCTCAAACCTCACAAAGATTCTGGATTGGATGAAGGCATTTGGCTTGCATGGTTGCATTTATCCCAAAGTCTGTGGCATCCTTGGTAACCCGCTGAAGACCTCCTCATCCAACCAGAACGCTGTCTGGTGCATGAGCGTGTGTGACTGACCTATGAATTGTGGTTCCGCTGACTTCATATCATGGTCACCTTTGTTTGCTCGCCTCCCCCCTCCCCCACCGCATTTTGAGCTTATATTAACTCTGAGAGTATTTAAGTTTGATGGACAGGATAATTCTGTGCCTTATTTTAATGTAGCTTTACTTAAAACACTTTATTTCATCCTGGTGCAGAGGGATGACGTTTGTGTTCATGTTCATATATCCATGTTTTATCTAAGGGTATACATGCCTAAAAGTCTGGCCTTCTTTTTTGTGATTGACTGTACTACGGAAACTTTGCTCCCTCCTTTCGTATCTCTAACAGACCCCCTTTTTTCCCCTCTATAGTCCACCACCAGCACTTCCACCTAAGAAACGCCAGTCAGCCCCTTCACCAACACCAGTAGCAGTTGTTGCTCCGATGAGCCGTGGCTCCAGTTTACCATGCAGCGACCACAGACAGGTGAGAGACTGATCGGATCCTGGCTTTCCAGACTAAAAGCAAACACTGTATACTGTTCTACTTTTAGCCATACTTGTATACTTAATTTTATTTAAAAAGGTAATCAGTACCACTCTGGCAAAGTGCTATCTTGCTCTGTTAAGGTTGCTTTATAAAGCTAAAGGTAAAAATGAGAAAGAAATAAAATTTTTCTGCTTATGGCTTTAGAACAGCAATGGCCAGAATGTCTCATAATTGTTCTGATTTGTCTCCTTTTGCTGATCATCAACATTTTTTAATCCTTCACAGTCTAACAGTTATAGGAACACGTAAGCCACAGCAAAAGAAAAGCCCTTTTAGTCAAGAGAATCCTGAACGTGTGAATCTTCTATTTCTGGGCAGGAATACGAGCATGAATTTTTTCAGAGGCGTTTCTCTGGGGGGAGCCATTCCTACGGCGGAGACTCCCCTCGTCTCTCTCCCTGCAGCAGCATGGGGAAACTCAGCAAGTCTGACGAGCAGCTCTCTTCCATGGATCAGGACAGCGGTCAGTGTTCTCGTAACACCAGCTGTGAGACGCTGGGTAAGAGCACCGTGACAAATCCAGCTGGTGGGATTCAGTGGATTGTTTGGACTGCAGGAATAACTTTGATTGAGCTCATTTTTTTGTAGTAGATGTATACTGATAGGCTATAATTTGAGGAAAAAATAACACCAATCATCTGGCTACAACATAGTGTTATACTTAAGGTTTATTAGCAAAAACTGTTTACAGAATGTTCTTTGAGGGAAAAAAAAAAAGCCAGAGTCTGAGGTATTATCCATTCTCCAAACTCCAGAGGTAACAGTCCCTTAGTGATCAGACTACAGGGATCCCACCCTGTAATCCACAGAGTCTGTTACCTACAAGTAACCATCTAAGGGGTCTGTACTCAGTCTGAAAAAGCATGAAATCATACCTTAGGTAGTTTTAACAATTGCTTTTTATTCTGCTGTCCAGCAGCTGCACACATCTGTTCATGCATCCATTCTTTCATCATTCTCTCTGTACATTCATCAATCTATTTCTTCTAAAATTATAGAAATTCTTACATCTGCCTCTCCTTCCTTCCTGCCTTTCTTCCTCTCTTCCTCCCCTCCAGTTCATGCATTCTACAGTCTCTATAGCTTAAGAAATGTAAAAATATCTACAATGAATTTATTATATTCATGCTTCAACTGTTGCCTATAAAGTGGCGGAGAACTATGGAAATATACAATAGAAAAGTATGGAGTTGTGACATGAACAATGTATGGGAACCCCGTTTGACCGCTCAGGGATTTTCTTTTTCTTTTTTTTGTTAAATCATAAACTAAAGAGCTAATCCCAAACTAACAGCTGTAGAAATAAAAGCTTTTTTAAAATGTCTAACTTGATTTATTGATGATAACTTGATTTGTTTTTGATTATCCAGTCGAAAACATTTTTTCTCTTTTTGCCAACTGTTATAAGTCATTTACTCAAAATCATTTTACCAACATTAAATTTGTCGTTAACTTTTCAGACAACACGGAGAGTTATGACCCGGATTACGACTTCCTCCATCAGGACCTGTCTGCCGGCGATAACCTTCCCACAGCCCAGGTGGGAGGCTGTCTGAGCCCCCTGCCCGAGTCTCTCAGCGAGTCCTCGTCCCCTGTTCCCGGTCAACATCTCACACCCCCCCCTCTGAGCGCCCCTCCATCCCAGCAGCCAGAGTACTGGAGTCCCCAGCCCAATCAGACTAATCCACTCCTGTCATGCCGCACCAGCGCTCCCCCCGCCCTGCCTCTGAAAAAACGCCGTAGCACCCAGACGTCGCCCTTCCCTGACGTAGGCTCCAGGGTGCTGTATGAGCGCTACCCCTCCCAGTATGACAACCTGTCAGAAGAGGAGCTACACCCAACACCGCCATTCCCCCTGTTCACACCCATCTCCCCCATGCCCCAGACGAATGGAGGAGTTTTTGTCTCCCAGTTCATAGCCAGTGAGAATGCGGATGTCCCGGCCAGCCCTCCACCGCTTCCTGAAAAGAAAAACAGACACAGTAAGTGGGGTTAGGTTGTGAAGGACAAAGAAGGGACGCCCTCTGAATAAAATGAACGTAGAACTGAAGAGTACAAATAAAAGTCAAGAACAAAGGCTAATCAGGGGAAGAGTAAATAATGAGGTTGATTAGGAAGAGGAAGGGGACGTTAACATTGCTTCATCGGCAGCTTATTAAAGCGTCGCTCATGTCAAAGAAAGATTCACTATAGAGGCAGGAAGTAAATACTAGGATGTGCCACAATAGGTCTGGGAGAAGGGCCGCAGAGGGCAATATGTGGTCACTTCCTCGCCCGCTTTATCCATCACTTCCTCACATGCTACTGTATTATGTCATTCAGGCAATCAGCCCTACCTCATTGTTGAAGCACTTTTTGCAGATTATGACAACAGTCTAAAGAATGCCAAAAGTTCAACCAGCTTCCTGAAAGTTTAGAGAGGAGTTCATTCATTGGTCACTGGTTTCTTCTGAGTCACTGGAGGAGTTTATTCACCTCTCAGAAACTAACGGTGGTCGTCTCATTAATGCAGCCTGGACTAGTTAATGTTATCAGGAATATTCTAGCAACTTGCTTTATAGTTTCTGTTAAAATCATGTAGATGATGGACTGCAGATAAGAAGAAGTGAGACTTTTTGGGAATAAATAGGAGATATGTAGACATTTTCCTTCATTTTTTCAATGCATTTTATATGATAGACAGATACAATAAAATCGTAATTTTAATAGCTTACAGTAATTTGGAAGCTCTCTTCCAACTTTCCAAATCCGTAATTGTTTCCGTTCTATAAATGTTCAAATTATTTGTAATATGCTCAACGTTAGACAGACAGAGGATATTTGTAAACGGCTGATATTAAAGTCTTTTTGCAGACCAATGTTTTGGATTTGGGATTGAACTGTGAATAGGGCCTTCTAACGCTTTTTCACAGCGGCTAAAATGTTCCCACAGCATCATGTTGCTACCTCTGTGTTATTGCAGGATTTTGTTTTTTGTTCCTTTTTTAATCACAAAAGCTATAAAACTTTCTATGAGGAAATTTATGTAATACATTTTACTCAATATCAAATTGTAAATAGGTCTATCCTCACTTGGCTGATTTTAACCTCATTATTCAAATCTTTTATCTAATCCCCGTTCCTCCAGTTCTTCAATATATGCAGTTTATGGAGGACTACTCGGAGCCACAGCCCTCCGTTTTTTACCAGATGCCACAGAGTGAGAGGATCTACGAGCAGCATAACAAGCTTTTCCAGGAGGTGTACGGCTTCAACGACTCCTTCAGCAGCACAGACTCTGTTCACGAGCCGCTGCAGCCGCCTGCATTGCCTCCAAAACAAAGACAGCTGGTAAGAAATGCTCAACTCAGGCACTCATTCCTGAAGTTATGAAACCAGTTGGTTTCATACTGTTCCTGTCTCGTATAGCAGTGTGGTTGGAGTACATAAACAGCCTGATTCACTAATTTGAACCGCATGAGCTGGGGTGTACTTCAAATTCCTTAGATTTTCATGCCTCCTGTGGGGTGGCGAAAAAGAGAGAATCTGTCATGTATTTTTTCTTCTCTTATCTTGTCATCTCAGGACCCATTCAGCTCTCTCTGTATCTTTAGTCTTGGTCATTATTGTAGCCAAAGGAGGCAGACATCTGTGTGCCCAACCAGGCATTAGCTCAACGGCGAGAGACGGGAACAGATTTTATCAGCAGCACATCAGATCCAGAGATTTAATCTTAATCTGAGGCAGCGTTTGGGTTAATTGAGACAACACCCTGCAGGTGAATCATTGGCGAAAGAGACATAATAGGACAAGTCACCGCAAACGACCGCTCAATTTCAGACTCTAATGTCAAACTGCTTTGAAGTGAGTTTGAAAACCATTAATGTTAATTTTCTTTAAAAAAAGAAAACTCCTTTATATGTAGACAGTGTGACAGACGCCCTATTGGTCAAAGGTTTAGACACAGTTTGTAGCACTGCTCCAATGTTTGTAATTTAATAGAGTTTGCTATTTCTTTATCATTGTCTACATTGACGATATGTAGTGATGACATCAAAACTGAGGCAAAAAATAAGGACAAACCATTGATTTTAAGGGTGTCCAAACTTTTGACAGAGTGTAAATCCAGACTTTAAGCTTTTTGCTATTTTTAAACCTGCATGTTTGTGGACCATGAACTAAAAAATAAAAGATAAACTTCTGATTCATTTCATAGACAGGAAAATGAAATCCACCTTCTATAAATCCTCTTTTTTTTTTTATCCACACCTGACAGTTTTTTTTTCTTTTTTATTCTTATCATTCTTTTTGTCTATGAGCGATTTGGTCACACTGCACACATTTGTGCCGCTGCAGCAGGCCTTAATCCAGCCTCGTGTTTTTTGGAGTTGATGAGCTGGAGGCCTACTGGAATAAGCCTGTTTGCCCCCTGCATAAACCCATGTTACAGGCTTACATGCTTTGGCGACTTTACACAGCTTTGCAAAAAAAAAAAAAAAAGTAATTCCAGCTGCTGGGTGGATAAGGGCTGAAAATAAACCCCCTGAACAGATCGTATTGGCTCTGTTTGGACCATGTAGTAGTTGGCCTTGTTTCCTCCAAAGCTTCAAAGCGAAGAATTTTAAAATGTTACCTGTATGTGTCGTGTGAACTTTGAGTACCTAAGGTTTCTTTAGCAGACTGAAGAGGCCATTACAGTTCTGGTAAATCTTTCCATATCTTCTTGTATTATAACCACAGACTTCAACACAAAAAATAAACTAGTGTTTGACTGTGAAATGAAAGAAAAGATGCATGATTTTCAACTTTTTTTCATTTGAAACTTTCTGATTTGCACAAAACGCCGTGTGGTGACAACTCTGACTGCAAATCAGATGCACAAATCTGCTTGAGACAAAGGTCTGTGGTTTTAATGTGAAAAAATGGGTAAAAAATTCAAAAGATGGGAATATTTTTGCCAGATATTGTAATTCTCGCTCCATGAATCCTTCTTTCTGCAGTGTGACTTGCTGTGTCTCATCTTGGCAGCAGAAGTGTTCTCGGCTTTTATCACTCTGACTTTACTGTCGGGCTGCAGCTGAACTTCGATTGAATCTGCTCTAACACAGTCTTACTTACTACAGTAATCAACTGTTCACTCTTTTTTTTTCCTTTAACCCACTCTGAGCCTCCACTTAACCTAAATTACTCTCTCTCTCTTTATTTCTTTTCATCTTCTCTATCTTTTCCTTCGTTTGTTCTCCTCCTCAGGCCTCCCACTCCTCTTCCCCTTCTTCCTCCTCCTCCTCTCTCTCCTGCCACCTCCAGCCGTCTGTAGCGGCTATGGAGGAGGCGGGCTCTGGGCTGGGCCTCAGCATGTCCGTCTCTAACTCCTACCTGATCGGCCAGGCGTCTTTAACCACACCCACGGTGAGTCAGCCCCCTCCTTACCTCTTCCTGGGGAGCTCCGCCTCTCTCGCCAATCCTTCAAACGGAGGCTCCGTGGGTGCTGTGTGGTGGAGTGGTCCTGAGGTGGCTTGACCTTTGCGTGCTCCATATGTGATTGTCTGTTCACCCTCATGCTCACTAACAGGGCTTTTTAACCTCATAGAAGATTAGTTAAATCATGAATAATATACCCTTTCTATGATCATGAATGCTTGCAGTTGTTTGTTGTGTTTGTGTGCTTTTGCTGGCTTGTAGCTACCCTGCTCTGTGTGGCCGTTTGCTTTGCTAATGCTTGGTCTCTTCAAGTGGGGTGTTCTTAAGGTTTTCTTTGGAAATCTAACAAGTAAAAACTTAATATATATATTTTAGGTATATTTTGCAGGTGATGGAAAAAAAGTTAACAGTATTTCATTAGTTGATGCTGATTCCATTGATATTTTACCTTTTATGTATAGTATTAAAGCAACAACAGTCTGTTCAACTCAGTTAAGGGTAAAATCTATCCTTTAGATAGTGGGGGAAATAAACTTGTTGAGCAAAAGCAAAAAAAACATTCCCACCTTTCAGTTATTTATTAATATCATTATTGTAACCACAGTTATGACATTGCATGTTTTCCTCATATTGAGTAGCATTAGTTCCTAGTATCCTTGTGTTATTTTGGGCTTACCAGCTGGAAGGTTTGGGTCTAATGAGATCTCAGAATGTAAAAATCAAGTAATCTTTCTCATCAAAGTGAATGCTGCTTGTGAAGTGCTATTAACTGGTGAAATAAGTGACAGCGCTTATCATTTTGGGCCCTAGTTGGAAGATAGGATACAGTGGGATTTCTTATGTTTTTGGAGCTGATTACTTTACTGGCAATACAAGATGATGATCTCTTCCCTTCCATTAGTGCAATAAAATAGCTAACTTGCAGCAGTGTGTGTGCTTATGGTTTAACATCAGATTGCAATCTTGAAATTCAGAAATTGATATCTGGAAAATATCAGAACTTTTAACTGGAAGATGTTTTAGAAACCAATGCATAAGCAAACAATGTGTAAGACTCTTATTTTAATGTAGGAAAAAGTATATTTTCAATTGACCTGCCGTTAAAGAAGCATAGATAATTAACGTTACTAAAGTTGACTAAGGGTAATGCGTTACAAAGCATAGGAGCCTCCAAAGGTTTTTTGCTAAAAAGGCACATCAACAAGTAAGAAAGGCCCTGAATAATAGTATTGTTAGAATAGGGGTTATGATGATGCTATGAAAGCATCTAATACACCGTCTCCATCACTGCAGGTCACCTAGGACTGAATCATTATAAAATAGACAGGCTTTCTTTCACACAACCTGTGATATATGGAGCAAAAACACTCTTATAATGCTCTTTTTACTGTAGGGACAACACTACTATACACTATAAGTAAATCAGACTTAACTGAATGTAGTTCTGCTATATTTTTTCAAATGACTTAGTATAAAAATCTAGCTGGAATCAGGCTCTTGGGCTCATAACTAACAGGATCTCAGCCTCTATCTCGGTTTTATGAATTGTGTTTTACTTTTTTTCTAGAATTGAGAATCTGACCCTTATTTCGGCTGCTGTTGCTAAGTGTAACCCCCCCCCCCCCCCCCCCCCCCCCAAAAAAAAAAAAAAAGAGAGGGTCGCCCAGGGTGACCTCATGACATGTTGCATGAGGCTCGTTAAGACATGACGTGGATCTCCCTCAGGATCCCTCTGGTGGAATGCGGCACCAGATGGACCTGATGGAAAACACATTCCCTGTTTCATCTGCTTTTCCTTTCCTTTCCTCCTCCTCTTCGTCTTCATCCTCCACCGTCTGTCCTAATTCTCCACCATCTTGACTTACCCAATTCCCGAATTTTGCGCAAACCCCCCTTTTGTGAAATTCTGTGGAACGAGTGGATCCTTCTGCCAAGTGGGGAGACGCATTTCCTCAGAGCTTTTTAAGAGTTTGTGTTTTGGTCTGATCTTGTTTGTACAATACAAAAAAAAAAAGTACCACTTGTGTATGACTGTCGGCATTGATCCGCACATGCATGAGTGTGTGCAGTGTTCCTCACTGATCTGTGTCTGCATGGCTCTGTGCCGGAATGCTCAAACAGGGCTGGTATGTGAAACGTGTTCTAACAGGTTACTACTACCTCCCTGCTGACAGGCATCTCCTGTCCTGGTGACACACTGAAACATCTATTCTCTCAATAACTTCTAATGCTGGCTAATTGATCTTTCTGCAAGGTTTATGCCTCTCATTATTGTAGTACAAGTCACCATTGTCTATGTATCCGTGTGTGTGTGTGCGCATGCATGCAGTGCATTTCATGTTTAGGCACATCCTTCCCATAAAATAGAGTTAGTACTGGTGACACTACTTCCTATCCTGCTTTCTATTGTTCGCTTTCTGTTTGCTCTCACTTCTCTTCTCTGATCTCTCAGTTCTTTTGTTTTCTTTTTCCCTTCTTTTTTTCTTTTCCATGCTTTGGTTCTTCTCCACTAGAGCTTGGACCAGGTTGCTTTGACCAATGCCACCACTCTGGATGGCAGCGGGGGCGGTCCAAACGGTTCCTTGGACGGCTCACTGGGTTCTGTGGCTGTCTGTCTTCCCTCTGAGTCTTCTCTCACTGACTCTCTCCACACCTCTGCGGTGAGCTTATATGAAGGAGTTCTTCCGGCATTAATACAATCTGATCGTGGACCTCTGCCCTCTGCAGATTTAAGTTAGATTCCAGCTGTTTTGGGTTTCTGCACTGCTGCACATGTAATGAAAATATATAGTGAGTCATTCGCTCTGTGGCATCTAGGTATCATTATCACTTCCCACAATCTGTGTTCTGTCTTATTATTAGTCTTAAAGGAATCCCAGTAGAGCATGCTATACTGCATGTTCCTGCCAGAGGTAATATTTCTTCTGCATATAATGCACTCCGGTGCCACCTGTTGGTCATGATGGATAATACAGCTCCCTGTAGACACAGGTGCACCGCCATAAATTAAACTGTGATTCAAAAAGTTAATATAATTTAGTAATTAAACTCCTAAAGCTTAATTACACACTCATTAATTTTGTTTTGATTCTGATAATTAAGGTTTACAGGAAGGAAATCTGATGAGTTTCTAGAGAAAATGGACCACTTTAAAATGATCTCTAACACAGGAAGCACGTGGACATCAAAATATCTGCACTCAGGACCTAATGGGGCTCCTTTGCATAATTATTTTTGCCTTGTGCAGCCCAGCAGCGCAGCATTGGAGCAGTGAACCTTTAGCTCTGCTGCAGTGCTAGGGACGCCCTGGCTGATTTAACAGCAGCCTTTTCTCTTCTGTGTAATGTTGTCTGTAGTTTGTCTCATCTTTCCTTCAATGATGCATAGATTCTCTTTAAGTTTTTTTTGTTTTTTTTTATCAGGCATTAAGGCTGCCCAGTCAATTAAATTCACACCACAGTCATAAAAGACAGTACTGGTACATTTTGGCAGAGTGGACAGGAGCTAAGACCTTCTGGAGAATTATTATTAGTATTTTTGTAAAACTAGTGGGGAAATATCAAATGCTTAGTTATTTATGGATAGACAGCTGTGCTCACTTTGAATCAGATAAAACTTGATGGACCAACTCCAGTGGATTAAATGGCATCTCAAATCATCGACTCTGGAAACATCTCACTGGACCTTAAGAACCTTGGTTTCTGTTCCTCTATACTCCTTTCCCCACAAATCGTGGGCTTGATTTCTAAATGATTTGAACCTTGATTTTGGATGACTGTGTAAATGAAAATATCTCCTTATTCCAAGTTAAGAACCTCTGACTTTGCCTCTGGATTAGGAGTGACTGAAGACATGAAATAGGAAAGTTTTAGCCCGTATACTGAACAAATCTGTGCTGTGAGTCTCCAGGCCCAATCTAAGTTTTTGCATCTTCTCTAATGAGCTGTTCCTTAGTTCTCCAAGGCTGTGGTTATCCTTGAAGCCTGTGTGCCTTTTTCCTTTCACTTAACTTTCTATTAATACGCTATGATACAGCACCTCCTTGGTGAGAGTCTCAGTGACCGTTCTATGGACAGCTGTCAAAGTCTTCCCCATCATTTGGTAGACTACAATCTTTCTCTTAAGAATCCCTCCTAATTGGGTTTATGTATTATTTGTTGCTTTTTTCATAACACTTAAAATATATATCACTATATCTTTAGTGGATCTAGTGTACGAGTCTCTCTTCTTGAATTCAATTATTGTGACAAGTTAAGTTTGTAGTAATGTTCTAATTTATTGAGTAACCCCTGAAACTGACCTCGGCCAGCTGCTGTCTCCCTCATTAAGCCTGTTACTGCCTCAGCAAACACTCTGTGGCCCTTTCTCCTGCTTCATGCCTCGGTCTGTGTCCCTCCTCTTCCCCCCTTCCCATCCCATAGAGCGAAAGCGTGAATGACGAGGGCGGGGAGGGGGAGTATGTCAACCTATACTCATCCAGCCAGGCCAATGGGGAGCTGCCTCTCTCCCTCCGAGTAAGTAGCTGACCGCCAAAGGTGAAAGGTCAATCCCATTTGCACGTCCAATCGCCTTGGGGGGGAATGAATCGATTCAGATATGGGGGCGGCGATTTAAAAGTAAAAGCCCTGGCCTGTGTTGCTTGGCCCATTTCATTCTCACATGTTGCACACAGCACCTCCTATTGATTCATCCCCTAAAAAGCGATCAGCGGCAGAAATGGAATATGGATGTAGCCGAACCCGAACGGACATGATCTCAGCTTCACAGGTTCGCTTGTGACTGAATCATGTGCCGGTGTTGTGGAAATAAGGAAATTATAAAGAAAGAAAAACGTCCATCTGTTTGTTCTGCCTGCCTGGCTGGTGACTGCTTTATCTCTGGCTGCACTGAACATTTCAGCTTGTTCTGCTCTAACTCCTGACATCTCTTTGCTCCTAAATAGGATTCTCAGTGGGTTTCCAGTAACAACTGCCTTAATGAATAACATGCACCTCTGCATGTGTAACAGCTAATTCGTTTGTGTGGTTATGTTCCTTTGGGTCAGACTCTGCATTTGCTTCAGGGTTTTTTTTTTGGTTTGTTTTGCTTTTCTGGGTTAACATATAAAATGATACGATGTGTGTGCGGTTGCGTTATTGTTCAGACGGTGTTTCACTTTGAGTGAATTTTATCCCTTCTGGTGTTTTGTTTTGGCTTTCATGTGTTGGGTTTTCTTTGCTAGCTCCAAGCACCCACCCTGTATTTGCCCTTATGGGACGATGTGGTAAATGTGTTCCAAACTTCCATTCTTCCTTTTCTTCACCGCTGTGTTGCATGAGATCCTGGTGGTTCATATGATCTCATCTGTAGCTAGATTCTGGTTACTGCATGAAGTCATTCACAAATGTTGTTTTTCCACACAGTTCTGGTGAAAGGTTTGCTGAAATTCATCATAGGCATGAAGGCGTTTTTTTTTTTTTTTTTTTATGATTTATCTGTATTATGTTATTTTTCCATGGTAGACCAGTGATTCATGGTGGGAATTTCTAAAAAGGATAGGTTAACAGGTTTGGATTTACAGGCTTACATAAATATAAATAGTAATATTTGACCTTATAGTGGCTGGAAATCTAACTTCTTCACTGATAAAATTTAATTCTAGTGTTAGATTTCAAGCATAGCCCGGGTTTTTTTTAATCTTTTTGAGGTCAGGGCTGTTTTTTTCCCCACAACTTCCATTTATGTCCAGATTTTAATCACATAAGCCAAACTAACACTGTCAGATAAAGAGAAATTGGTTGTAAAAAAAAAAAAAAAAAAAAAAAAAAGTGGTTACAATAATGTACAAAGCCTTCATGCCATTGAATGCAGACAAACCTCCCGCCAGAACTGTAAACATCCGAGGCTGATGGTTACGTTCTTTTCCTCAACTGTTAGGAAACCATTGCAGCTGATGACGTACTTCAAGACCCTGTTCCTCAGATGCCATCCAGCAATAGTAAAGAGGCTTTAGACAAAGAAAGGTAACAGTGATAAAACTCACTTCCTGTTTTTACTACTGTGAAACTCAGTTACATCTTGATCATGTGGTCCTCATGTATTGGTCTGGAGGAAGTGATCAGACATGGTGCCATTAAATGTACCTTATTACTCTTATTTCTTAAGTTTGATCTTTAGCCTTTCACATGCTTGTATAAAGAAAAAAATGTTAAGTTATATATTATTAGGGGTTGTTTTAAAATGATTCTTTCTGTTTAAATGAACTGTTTTAAGCATGCAGTGTAGAACCTAGGCAGATGTGATACTGTCTGTGTTGATGATGGTGATGATGTGTGGGTGTGCTTTAGGAGGCAGAAAATGACAGAAACAGCCGGGAGCGTTGAGGAGGACGTAGACGAGCTCTCCCTAGTAGACCACAAGGAGATCATGAGCAGGATAACACTAAAGCAAGAAGTAAGTGGAGACCTGTTGATGCTTTTTATTATTTAAGAACAAAACTTAACAGCAGCCCTGGAAGCATTTTATCAAATAAATCAGTGTCTGTGGCGTGCAATCAGATCCTGCCCATGAGCATCGGTAGCCATTGCTGCCCTCTGGAGTTTAAGCTGTTAAATTGCAGAGCTAAAACTTCCTGTGCCTTCTCCACCACCTCCTTCTGCTTTGTCCTGAGTGGTGCAGTCTGATACACAGATGAGTGGAAATGCTGCACACCTCTCTGCAAGGTTAGCGGCACAGTCACAGCAGCGATTTACAGCGGAGAGAAGGGAGGTAGTCAGACACAGGAGGAGCACTCTGACCAGAGAGGCAATTTAGCTGTGCTGCAACACAGACATTGCAGTGAATCATTTTTTAGATTTTATTTTATGTACAAGTCAGACTTTTGTTCGTCATCAGAGGAGCTGCTGCAGGAAAAATGGGGTTGGTTGAAGAGAAAATGTGCATGCTACGTTTTGGGCTGAATTGCGTCTCTCTCATAGATATTTCTCTTCATATTGAGCTTCTCTTTATTATTCCGAATCTTTCCAGAATGACGACGGTCCTGACGTCCGTGCTGGGTCAGGAGACATCCTATTAGTCCACGCTACAGAAACAGACCGCAAAGGTAAAAACTGTCTAGGTCCAACTGTCTTTATCTTTTATTGTTAAAAGGTGTATTAATTTCATATTTGAATAATCCTATATGTTTGATTGGCCTTAAGTAACCTCAGTCTAATATTAAGACTATAATTCTATGTAGCAGGGATATTTGATATGTTAGGTTATATTTGTTTATTTAGCTGCAAGGCATCTCAAAGATGCTATTGTTTTTTTTTTCTTTACAGATCTTGTTTTGTACTGTGAAGCCTTCCTGACTACATATAGGACTTTTATAACCCCAGAGGACCTCATTAAGAAGCTACACTACAGATATCCTTTTAAAATCAATCAGCATGTCACTCTGGTCTAATTGCTTTTTTTTCTTAAAGAACTTTTTTTTTTTTTTAAAGCTTTAATCCATATTTACTTAAAACAGACTTGCCTGTTCTGATCTAGATCTGTACTGATAAATGCAGATTTTTTTTTTTTTTGCTTCAATGTTACTGGGATTTCATGTATTCATGCACACACTAAAGAAGTATTTGTGAAATGGAAAGAAAAAGAATCCTAAAAATATCGCATGATCAAATTCTGATCACACTAGGACTACCTGAACTTATCATCTCCACAGGGAAACACGGTAGTGGCAGCCTTATTCTTGGGGAAGATTTTCAGGCCTTATGGGCTGAGATAGGAGGGGGGGGGGGGGGACTAAATACTGGGTCTTTTAAGAAAAACAGAGGTTGAAACCTTCCTAGAGGTTAGAGATCCTTAAAGGGGTCATGGAATACAAAGCCGAGTTTATATTATCATAGATGAATAACGATAGTTCAGTGGGTGAAATGGACGTACAGAGAAGTGCAAACCCCATTGACACCTCCTTTCTCTGCAAATCTCACAATTCTAAACTTCCACCATAAAACAGGTGAATTCAAACAAAGCCCCATTGCTGATGTTGGCTTATTTGGTTCTACTTTTGTCACACCCCTCTCTGTTGACTGGACCTCACCTTAGCAGAGAGCCATGAGCTGCCCGTCCTCAGCTGGAGGAGGGGGGCTGGGGGGCCAGTAAGGCAGACGGGGGGGGAAGCATGGGGCCCCTGTGTCCAGGCTACCGTCACTGGATCGGGTTCGGTCACTCTGGCTCCCTGCCCCCGCCGGGTTTCCTGGACCAGCCCCGGAGCTGATGGCTTGGTTCTGCTGCACTGTAGTCGACCAAAATCCTGGACAATTTTGAAATTCCCCACTGACATCTTTTTAGGTATAAAAAGTAGGACATGTCCAGGAAAAAGAGGAGATCCGGTCACCCTACCATATCAACAATTTCGATGTTTCGGTGAGTTAGTGCTTGTTGCTATGATGCGTCTATGCTCAGCAGCTTCGCTTGTAAACCAACTAATCAGCGCACAGCTCATCTAAATATTCATGAGCATACCATAAAAGGAAGAAAACCTGTCGTTTAGTTCTGAGGCTTTTAACCAGGCCTGCATTAGGGCTCATAGAACAGCAAATATGCCATTTTCAGCCCAACCAATGTTACACACCCTATTCAGAGACCTTAAGGACCAGCACCAAATACCCTATATAATCATTCTATGACCCCTTTAAGAGTCATCCAGAACCACAGAGTGGTTAAGATAAAGCCATATTAATTAGAGCCGGGCAGATTTTAGCCTTAAACACAAGTAAGAATTTAAGGAAAGACCTGAAAAAGCTTTTCTGATGCTCTTCATTCGGTCTGAATGAGCCAGAGCTCTTTTGCAAAAAATAAAAGGAGAAATTGTTTCATTCTCTATGTGGAAATAGCAGAAAGTGTAACAAAATAAATAAAGAGGTTTGCAGCTCTTTTAAGTCTGTTCCATTATCCTTGACCACAAAAGCACATATACCACCTTCTGCCATAGTCCAGACACCTTCAAGAAGCGAGTCAGCAAGAACACGTTCTTTGTTCTGGTCCGTGTTGTTGATGAGTTGTGGTGAGTTTAGCTAATAGTTTAAAAAAATCCTCATTCATGTTCCCAGTTGCTGCAGTGAAATGTCTCAGTATATTTCCAGAACACTGATTTGGTAAGAGATTGAGTCACTTCTACCTCCCATCCTCTGTCCTCCAGCTTAGTGGAGCTGACTGAGGACATCTTGAAACAGCTCATGGACCTGGTGTTTACGCTGGTGTGTAATGGTGAGCTCAGTCTCGCCCGTGTGCTTCGTAAAAATATCCTGGACAAGGTGGAGCAAAAGAAGCTGCTGCGATACACAAACTCCCTCAAGCCCCTCGCTGCTCGAGGGGTCTCTGCAAGGTACCATCTTTGTTTCTATCTGTGTCGTTCTTTGTAATCCTCCCTGTTACTGCAGCTGGCGATAAATGTGAAGCTTAATCGCTTTTGGTTGTGAACAGGCCTGGGACTCTTCACGACTTCCGCAGTCATGAGATTGCTGATCAGCTCACACTACTTGATGCTGAACTTTTTTACAAAATTGAGGTGCAGTGATTTCCTTTCCTCCTTTTGGTCAGAATAACTTTGCTTTAACTGTTGGGAATCAGGAGTAATAAACAAGGTTGTGTTTTAACTCCTCTCCTGTTTCCTGTAGATTCCAGAGGTTCTGCTTTGGGCAAAGGAGCAGAATGAGGAGAAGAGTCCCAACCTAACTCAGTTTACAGAGCACTTTAACAACATGAGCTATTGGTAAAACAATCAGATCACATCCTTTTGGTTTTTGTATTTTAATAAATGCAAACAGCTTAACGTATCTCTCTGGCCTACAGGGTGCGCTCTTTGATAATTCAGCAGGAGAAAGCTCAGGACAGAGAGAAGCTGCTTCTCAAGTTCATTAAGATAATGAAGGTAAGGCGTCTCACTCTTCCAAAGAAAAGCTCATCTTTATCAGATATTTAATACTGACGCTTCTTCTCTTATTTCAGCACTTAAGAAAGTTAAATAATTTCAACTCCTACTTGGCAATACTGTCTGCTCTGGACTCTGCCCCCATCAGGAGGTTAGAGTGGCAGAAACAGACTTCTGAGGTGAGATATTTTAATTTAGCTTTGATAATTGTTTATAAAAGGCATCTTTTCACTTATCTGCTCCTGTTTTTAAGGGTTTGGAGGAGTATTGCACTCTGATCGACAGCTCCTCGTCCTTCAGAGCCTACAGAGCTGCTCTGGCTGAGGTGGAGCCCCCCTGCATCCCGTACCTGTGAGCACTTCATCCTGCTTTAACAGATCTGCTGCTCAGTGAAACAGGACATGGCTGTTTGTTTGATTTCCCTTTCTTCTCCTCACAGAGGCCTCATCCTCCAGGACCTGACCTTCGTGCATTTGGGGAACCCCGACCTCATAGACGGGAAGGTCAATTTCTCCAAACGCTGGCAGCAGTTCAATATCCTGGACAGCATGCGGCGCTTCCAACAAGTGTAAGACTGCTTTTACTGTCGAGCTGCAGCGTTCATATCTCATATAAAGTTATCTAAAGTGATGTTTGTTCAGTGAGTAATAGTTATTCAGCACCTCTAACCTGTTCTGATCTCAGGCATTACGACCTGAAGCGCAACGAGGAAATCATCTCCTTCTTCAACGACTTCAGTGACCACCTCGCTGAGGAGGCCCTGTGGGAGCTGTCCCTGAAGATCAAACCCAGAAACATTGTCCGCCGCAAGACTGACCGCGAGGAGAAGACCTAGGGTCCTGCAGGCCTTCTAACCCTGACCTTCAACTGTGCTTCATGACACTAACTCCACTTTATTACATACTAAGAGAAAGACGCATGGAAGCTATCCACTAAAGCTAATGGGTGACTTGTTTCCAAGGAATCCAGAACAAACTACAACTAAAACGTCACCGAGGTTTACAAAGAGCTCTGCCGCTCTGGGAGATTATAAATCGGGATTACTGTTGCTCTGATTTAACAGCTGAGGCTGTGGTCGAGCCAAAGGAAAGCTGGAGGAGTCAGAGCTCATGGGGAGACACTACGGATATTACCAAAGTCTGCTCCCTGGACTATTTTAGAGTGGAGCTGTTGCGTATGAGAGAAGAACTTGAATGGTCCATACCCCCCCACACATCTCTCTAATACCTCTTCCTGTATGTATGTGTCATTTATCGGTCGTCCTCTGCAACACTAACCCCGGACGTACAAGTTCTCCTTAAACAGCAGAAGCTCAGGTGCAAACCTGCCCCGAACTGAAAGGCTGCAGCCTGAGAATCTGCTGTGACTGAACTTAAGAGGATAGCTCCTATAGACTGGAAATCTGAGTTTGTTTTTAAACTTTTTTTTTTTTTTTTTGTAAGAATCGTGTATGGTTATGACATGTATTATATACAGTGCTCCTTTTGTTCTTAAAAAGGACGTTTATGCTTATGAGAAGAGCTTAGCTTCTCCTAAGTGCCGTATGTATGTGCACTAAAAAAGAAAAAAAAGGCAAGGCAAAAACATGAAAAAGAAAATTACTAAAGATGCTGTGATCTATGTATGTCATACTGAATCATGGAGTGCCGTGTTAAACTGTAGAGAACCACAAAGCAAACACAATCATGTCCCGGTCCCGTCTGCATGAGAGAGAGAGAAGTCTTCTGAGGCTTGTGAGTCTGTCATTCCAACGTGTGCTGTAGGAAATCATTGGAATCCTATTTTTTGTTTTCTTTTTTTAGGATAATGGTCACAAACCCCCTCCCCACCCAACACATCACACTGTGCTCTCAAACTCCAATAAAACAAAAGGCTCTGTTTCTATAAAAGCTACGTCTGCAAGAGTCTCATTTGTTTGATAGTAAATAAGGCTTCAAAAGTTTCCGTTTATTGATGTACAGCGTTTTACATGAATCGTGGAAAAATAGAAAAAATATTAAGGCATAGACTTGGAAGAAAATGATCAAACAGGGAGTTAATTCTCCCATAAGCCTCGCAAAAGTATTCACACCCCTTCAACTTGTCTACATTTTGACGCCTCAACCGCTGATGTACTTTTAACAGAATCTGTTAGAAACCAAGATGGTGCAAAATTATAGTAAAGGAAGACGAAAATAGTTTAAGGATTCACAAATTAAAATCTGAAAAGTGTGGCGTACATTTGTAAGCAGCTTTTGGGTTGTATCTACCAGCTTTTAATATCTTAACCTATTTTTATTCCTCACTGCTGCTGCCTGTTGAATTCATACCTTTATGACTTAAGACATTAAACTAGAAGCAGTTAACTGATGATTCTTAGTCTATATATATATATATATATACACACCAACGATCACTAAAACGTTGCAACCATCCAGTGATCAGACTGGTGTGTGAATTTGCAATTAATAAAATCTACCTAATTCTGCATCTTCTGGCAGAAAAAAAACATTAAATTACAGGTTAAGATCCAGCATTTTTTTTCTTGTTATTGAATCCAGTTGCCTAGACTGAACTTTTTCCAAGCTTTACCATGACCTGGATGAATATTATTAAAGCTCTTCATCAATTTTGACTAACCAGTGGCATATTGCCTATTGGTTTTATTCCTTGTTTACATCTAACGCCTCTCAGGTTTTGAACAAGCCTAGGAAGCCATGTGTCAGTTCTCTTTCTCTACACAACACACACCAATTAGTGTCTGTCTCACAAAAGCCATTAAGGTTTATGAGCTGGCAAAATGCTCAATGGGTATGAATGTTTCTGCAGCTTCTTTAAGAAGCTGTTACAGAACAGGTACAACTACTCGGCTACGTGCACTGCAGAAAATTGAAATCTAAATAAGTAACTTCTTTAAGTGCATTTCTTCTTGAATTGAGGAGGTAAGTGAGAAAAAAAGATTTGCATTGTCTTATTTCAAATGCATATTATCTCATTCCTATTTCAAGAGTAAAAAAATACTCATTCTGTTGGCAATCATCTTATTTACCTACTCAAATTAAGGGTAAACACACTTAATTTAAGACAGTTCTACTTATTTCTAGATCATTTTTGCAGTGTGGTATTTGTACCATTTTACTTTAAATGCACTAATACTTCTTAAAGTAGTGAGGAAGATGTTAGTCTACCATCAAACCACATTTAAAAGTGCAACAGCATTTTCTATCACTCATAAGACCTGGTTTAATAACCACTTATTTACCCATTTTAAAAATTAAAACAATGACGCCTCAAGAGAATACTGATTACTATAAACAGGGTTTCTACACATCTTATACATAAAGATTTCAGACCCAGCATTCTAGACATGACTTTAGACCATTATGCTCATTTGAATTATAAAATACTAAAATTTACAATACAATTATGGTTGTTTCTAAAGTGTGCAGATTTTTGTTTTGGAAACTGGAAAAAATAATTACTGTGTTGATAGAAGGAAAGGATTTAGGAAAGATGCAAGGATTTATGAAGATGGTAGAAGGTAGAGCGAATGGAATGAATGAAGGAGGAAGAGCACATTTATAATTCTAGGGATTAAGGTCTGGAAATGTTAAATTATTTCCTTTTTCCATACCATCCCAGGAAATCCCAGACAGTGTAGAAACCCTGTTAACAACGAATAAATCGGGGTTCCAGATGTCAAAACCTGTTACATTAAACCACTAATATATATTACCAAATAATTCAGTGGGTGTGTGAGATTCTGGCACAGTAGCAGCAGTTTTCACCCCACTTCCACAGTCTATCTGTTCCCATTCCTTCATAACACACATCTAAATCCATTCAGTCTCAGTGAGGCCGACTGCTGGGCTCCAGCAGGACCCTCTTAATTGGAGGGTTAGTGGATCCGTTCTGCAGGTCCCCCTGCTCCGAAGTCACCCTTTTGTAGCCCCGTCCGTTGATATTCCCACGCTGCCACTTGCAAATGTCTCCGTTTAGAATATCTTGAATGTGCTGAACGATGAGGTTGATGGCCACTAATGAAAAATTAGGACGTTATTCTAGGCATCATCTAACCTGGTGAAAATGACTATAAGCAGGTTAAATTTAAGGTTTCTCACCCATATTGTCTACTCCTCTTGGAATGATGACATCTGCATACTTTTTAGTCTGGAAAAAAACCCAAAACAACTCTTTAGACATAAAGAGAAAAATAAACCAGCACATCATCAGGGGTGATTATACTTACAGGCAGGCAAAACTCTTCAAAAGCAGGCTTTACAAATGTTGTATACTGGTTTAGGATTTGCTCCAGGTCCCTCCCTCTGTTCATGTCTCTCAGGACTATGAGAAATAAAGTTTAAAACTCACAAGAAAACTATTAAATAAGTGTGATAGAAGCTCAAGTACCTCTTCGGGACAACCTGACATCTGAATCTGTGTCCACAAAGAGCTTCATGTGGAACATCTCACGTATTTTCTGGGGGTAGAAAACAAGGATCCCCTCAAAGAGGACCACATCCGCTGGGTAAAAGGTGATCCTTTCTTCCAACCTGCAAACATGCAAAGAGCTTTCAGACTACAGAAGGGATGAGCTTTCATACATTGAATTACTTTAAAGTGTTTTATGATTCCAACCTGGAATGGGTGACAAAGTCATATGTTGGCACCTCCACTGCCTTCCCCTCTGCGATGTCCTTCAATGTTTTGTACATCAACTCGTTATCGAATGCCTCTGCGAGATGTCGGAAATTGTAGGAATTTAAAGACAGAAATCAAGTCTTAAGATGTGAAAATAAACTTTCAAATAAACCTGTTTTGCATTGAAATAGTGTTTGAAGTAGTGTGGATTTTAAAGAATCAAGCAATGAATCAAGAAAAACAAAGCATATGTTTGGAAATACTTGATGTATGCTGAAGAATTTTGGTTTTGATATTAGGTTTTAAATTGTCCTGATTTTTAGCATTATGAAGTCTTACCATGTTCAAAGATTCTCTAGAGGAGAAATAGGCCCACAGCATTAAAGATCCTGCGCTATACTTAACAGTAAAGTCATGTCAACCTTTAGCTCCTTCCTGTCAATCAAAAAGCCTTAATCCCAACCTGAACCGGAATGCACCAAAACTCTTGCCTTTATTTACTTAGAAAGTGATATTTTCATTCCTGCTGTTGACAATATGGTGAACAAATAACTGGCAGAGATTTTATAGTTGATCTTCTAAGCTACATTTGAAAAAATAGTTGTTACAAGAGCAAATACAATAGTCTTAAAGTCAAACCAAACAACCCAGCAATTGAAGTTACATGGAACTGGGTGCTGAACATTAAACCCTAAATAACTTTTGGTCAGATTTTATAGGATGGAGACATCTGCAAGACATCTTGAACCAGTGAATTGGTTACATCAGCTAGGGGGATGTCTTGAACACACTTTGGAAAACGATTATCTAAAGTTTGTACAACCTACTTACTTTCTACTGCAAAGAAATGAAACAACACTTGGTCAATTTCTTTTAGACCCCGTTTTTCCACAAAGTTGATTAAATTAAATGTCTGGTCTGAACATGTTTACCTGGGTGATCAAAGTTGTACTGTCCTTTAAGGGCTTTAGCTTTCTGATCGGGAGTCAGCACATTGTAGAAGCAGTCCTGGCTGATGATGGCCACCTTTCTCTGGCGGTGGTCCACTTTGTGCTGACCCAACAGCTCCATGATCTTGGCACAAACCGTTGACTGGGGGAAAAAAGAAAAACACATCTCCATCATCAATCTGTTAAAAACGCTCTTTAAATTACACAACTAAACCTGTTAATATCAGGAAATGTTTCGTTGTTTTCATTGCATCATTTTTGACCATAAAGGGAATAAATACATGAATTAGGCTAAATTTAGACATGAGTCTGCGTTCAATTTACGACCTGAGTTCAAGGTTTACGAGATGACGTCAAATATGCCCCCCCTAAAAAACCGAACTGTTACCTATTTATTTAATAAAATCAAGGCTGGAAATTGAGAAGTAAATCTGGACCAAAGTAACAAAGACAATGCCTCTTTTAGCTACATGATAAACTACTAAACAAGTGGGCGTGGCGTTTATTTTGACAGTTTGATAATTGCTAACATTGACATCGAGTTAATAAACCGGTAAGCTAACTACATTTCTACTGATTTACCTTCCCGCTGGCCGTTCCCCCGCTAACACCGATTAAGAAAGGCCGATGTCTGGGTTTCTCTGTCTCACCGGTGCCTTCAAGGCCTTCCATCTCAGTCATTCCAATAATATAGATAACAGAAGAATCGACAGCGTGTTAAAGAAGCTAACAGCCTGCTATTAGCTACAGTCCAACTCTCGCGAGAACGGAAACTATTTGGGTCATTTCTGACGCTGGATCCCACGACACCTACTTAGACGTTTTTTTTGTTTGTTTGTTTTTTTACCTGAACTTAATTCATGGTTTCAAGATGGAACAAATCAAGCAGTTTCTGTTTTGAGGCTTTTTATACAAAACAGACTTTATATTGATGGATATTACAGAAAGCTGCTATTTTAAACATCCTGAAAAGAATGTTAAAATATAAACTGGTGACTCTTCAAAATTAGAAGCTATACTGACCCTAAGAAGAAAATGAATTAGGAAAAAAAAAGGGGGGGGGAAATGCAACCAAAGCCAAGGCAGGGTGAGTCTCGGTGCCCTATATATGGGGATAAGGATTTTGATAAAAATAAATAAAAATAGTTTTCAACACCCACTGTCTCAGATAAAATAATTTCACCAGGTGCAGAGCTAGATGGGGGGCCAGGGGTGGCCATGATCACCCTTAGCCAATCATTGGCCAACCCTATCATATTTTCCCCCTCTAATACAGATGGTGGCAGCAGTAATACTCTCAAGTTGAATATTCAAAATATAAAAAATCTTCATATATTAACAATTACTTGACAACAAAAACACTGTGTTTAATGTGTTGATAATGTGGTTATGCACATCAATAAACTAACATTTAAGATGACAAATACAGAATTCATGCTCTTTTCAGAGCTAAAAATTGTGTTTCTGCAAGTCATCTAGGAGTCTTCAGTGAAATCATAGATACCTATATTAATAAAAACTTAATAAGTAATCAATTTATGTAGATATTAGTACTTGTAAATATCAATTTTATGCAGAATGATTATTGATAAAAGTAGGTAAGTAATGACAATGGAAAAGATGTTTGCAGCAGAACTCAAACCTGAAACAATTTTATCCACTATACATTTGATCTAGAAAGCACAGATGTTTAAATATATGTGTCTATTTGTTTGGAAAGGCTGTAGGAAAGGATAGTTTGTCTTTATGTAGAAAAATATCGATGTTTTGCTCGTTAATTTTCCTGTTGGAACAGTGTAGATTGACCATGAGATTCTGTCGCCTATCCACTATCGGCCACCCCTCACTGTACACTGGTTATTGCCTGGACACCCCTATAAAAAGGTTCTGCCTACGACTCTGCATTTCACTGAGTTTTAATATTTTTTCACTTTATTCTAAGAGACCACAATGATCAACCCAAAGGATAACCAAATAGTTTTTTTTATTTTAAATCTAAATATATAAACATACAAGTGCAGTGTGTGATCAAGGTAAATCACGTTGTTTCAGGCTCATTCCCCTTCTCTTCTCTCTCAGCTTTCTGCGCACTGTCTGTGTTTGATTCTTCCAGAACTATCTCCAAAGCAGCAGAGCCTTCCACCCTCTTCACAAACTCCCCTTTGGCAGCAAGGATTTCCTCGATATTTCTGAAAGATTAAGCAGCACAATGTGAGCCATCAGCAGATTATTATGGATAGTGTTGTCCCAATACTGATACCTGGCTGTGCAGTATTGGCCGATACCATCTGTTTGAAATTGGTGTGTGTGTGTGTGTGTGTGTGTGTGTGTGTGTGTGTGTGTGTGTGTGTGTGTGTGTGTGTGTGTGTGTGTGTGTGTGTGTGTGTGTGTGTGTGTGTGTGTATATGAAGAACTGCATACTACTTGGATGTTAAATAATTGTCATCATGACCTTGTCAAGCTGCTGCCTACCTTTGTGAAGCAGGAAAAAAAAAGACTAATACAAAGTGAATCAAATAGAACTTTTTATTGCCTACCTGGAATGGGGGACAATTGTTGAATAAACTTTTGGCTCTTTAAAAATAGTATCGTTGCCCTTATTGTCGGTACTCGCCGAGTACCGGGGCCCTGCGCGATACTGGTATCAGAATCTGTGCAACACTAATTATGGATGCACCTTGCAGAAAAATAATACTCATTTCCCTTCTTTTATTACATTCGACAAAAGTAAAGATTTTCAAAGAAGTCTGCCTGTTCTTGTGATACTAATGTTCTTAGAAACTACAAATTTAAACTAAAATTCCATCATATTACTTTCTTTACAATTCTTATCCATGTTTTCTTCAGTTAATATTTTAATCCCACAACAATACAACACCTCCAGATAAGTAGATAGAAGGTTTCTTTAACGATAGGTTTACTTTCATAATTCCCCTGAATGCAGCATCAACCATCTTCCCATTTTATCTCTTACCAGCTTAGAAGCTGAAGGAAACTATCCCTAAAAGCAGGATCCAGACACCACTATATCTGATGGACAGGAAGGCGGGCTCCAGTTGGTACACAGTTTGTTTGTTTTTTCCACACATGAACAAACAGCACCATTCTTCATGGAGCTGTTTGTTCACCTGTGCTCCAACTTTTTTTTATATTCAATTTATTTATTTCAAAATATAACCTTACAAGTCATATACACAAAAATACACGGACTCTAAAATCAATGCATCTTGAATGAAATGGAGCAGAAAGCAGAAAAGCCTTATGATAATTCTGCAGCTTCATTCATTCAGTGACAGGCTGCTGCACCATAAATACACCAGGGAGGGTTTTCACAGATCCTTCCTCCTAGCAGCTGTAAGACTTTTTAACCATCACTGCTTCCAACAACCTCAATTAGTTTTTACATTAATGCTGATTTTTGCAGTTTCTGTTTTGGTCATTTATATGACATGCTGCTGTATTTTTATAATTATTTTTTATTTTTTGCACATCATTGGTGTTGCTGCTATATTTCCACATTTCCATTACTGTAAAAATGTCCACAGCTGTTATTATTTTTATTCTCCAGATACAGAGTATTAAATTGTAAAACACTGTACAGTACTATACTCTATTTGTTTAATGTTCCTATCTCTATATTTTATACACTTTTCTAAAGTCCAGATTGTGTGACCACTTCTACTATAACCTTTTGCTGCTGTAACATCACAATTTCCCAATTGCGGGAAAATAAAGAGATTTTCTATTCTTTCTATTTTTACTTTTTTACAACAACTCTGCATCCGTTCTGTCTAAATATTTATATCCATCTTTTTTCAGTTATCCGCATTTACTTTGATTATATTTTATCATATTTAAAGTATTATATAAGTATTTAACTATTCAAAACATCATACTATCATTATGTCCATGTAGTTTTTGTTTTTTGAATGTCATCATCATTCTTGATTCTTTAATTCTTTGATTAAGTCTGTTCCACTAATTAATTCCTTTATTACATATGGTAGATACATTTTGGTTTTAAACCAGTTTTTTGTTTTGTTTTTTTCTAAGATATCTGTTTCTTTCAGATTATTTTTTTAGGTGACTTCCTCTTTTTTCAATCCTTACTTGGAAGTTAGCTGGCGATGTTTTCTTATTTGCCTTATACAAAACCTAGACAACGTTTTAACCTACTGAATCATGAAATTTAAATAACTTACTCTTAAGAAAAAGTGGGCTAGAAAATTTTGAAAAGGATGTTTCTAAAATTATTAATAGTTTTCAGTGCTCTTTTTTGTAATATGAATAAAGACTTAATAGGATTCGGACGGTAATCCCCAAACACCATAGTTAAGTATGACATGATCATTGTGTTGTACAAAGTAATTAATGCTCAGTGGTTTGGAAAAAGGTTTAATTCACGTAACACAGCTAAGGATTTTACCATTTTCCTTTTTTTATAACATACATGTTGTTTCTAGCTAATATCTTCATCAATAACTCCTAGAAATTTTGTTTCTTTAGCCCTTTGTTTAAAAAAAAAAACCTCTGTGGCTTTCACCAAACTGTAGCATCACAATAGACCAAATTATTCTGTTAATGGGAACATCAGTAAATAGCTGTATATGGATAGATTTTATTTTTTCAAACAACATATGTATTCAAATCTTTAAGTTTGATGATAAATTACCATCTTGCATCCTCTAAGTTTAAATCTCAGCTCAACCAACCTCTTTCCCTCCAGATCAGAGAACCAGTTCAGGTTGTCAGCTATGATGTGGTGGTTCTTGCATCCTGAGCATGTCACTATCACCACACCTTTATGGTAGGCCAGCTTAGAGATCCTCTGCATGGACCTGGTGGAGCAAATCTGCAAACATCATCGCAGACCCCATATTAATTACCAGCCTTGACTTAATATAATGACTCAGATTACATCCCACAACGAAAACTGGAGTGGACAGAGTTTGAACAGGACTGAAACACTCTCGCAGAGCATTACTTGTGGTACCTTGCATGTGTAAACAAGATGATAATGTGTTGACTGGATCTGCCCAACAGCGTCTTTTCTAGAAGATGGAGAAGATGAGAAACTTCTAGAAGAGTTGGGATGAGCCGATAACAGATGATCGAACCCTCTTTGGTTCTGAAGTGACAGCAGAGCTGTTCGGGTGGTGATGTTCGGACAGGGAGACCCTACACATGGACTGGACACACGAAACTTACTGCGATAACATCGCGATAACCGGCTGACTCTGGGAACCTGCATTAAACTAAGACACTTCTGTAGGACTATCATGATAAAAGACGGTTTCAAGGAGACAGGGGAGAGTCTGATGGAACTAAAGTTCAAATTGCCTCAACGGAGAAATTGACGCGCTTTGATGACGTCATTGTGCTTAGCGTTTCAAAATAAAAACAAAACCATAATAAATAAAACTGTAAAATTAAGCATTTATTAATTTCGATTTCTTGAGACGCATTTTGGCAATTAATTTCATTAAAAATATTTATATTATAGTCAATTTAACAGTTTTGGAATAAGTCATTATGCTTTCTGTAAATTGATTACTTGATTCATGTTGTTTTAGTTCATTTTTTAAAGCTGTTTTACATATTTTACAAAAAAGAAAATAAAAGTGATAGATTGTCAGTGGTTTAACGATAAGCATCATAACAGCATTCGGCTAAAGAAAAAGTAAATGGTTAAATATATTAACCAGCAAATAGGTAAGATACCAGTAGTAACACTCACCCTTTCCAGAATAAGCCATTTATTTACCAAAGATAAAGTAAAATGTTTCTGGGAACTTCTCTGTGTCCTGAAAAGTTCCAATCTATTCACATCTCAGTTTTATACCTGGCAGCAGAGTAAGGACAATTTTTCCAATTTCACCATCACAATGAGGACCAGTTGTTGTAAAGTGGGGACATTTTGAAGGTCCTCACAAACTATTTTGCTAATGATTACAGAAAAATAATAAATAATAATAGTAAAAAATAAAAAAACGACTAAAAAAAAATAAAATAAACATAAAAAAAATCCATTGGCATTGGTTTCCAAGTTTAAAGACGTTTTGCTTCTCATCCAGCAACTTTTTTCAATTCAAGTCAGTTATTTATTTATTTAGAATGACTATGACCTGGATGACTGAGAACCTTCACCAGTATTTTGCTAATGGTCAGGTTTAGGGCTAAGGTGTCAAATTGGTTACGGTTATTTGGGTTAGGGAGAGGTGTGCATTGATAATGGTTAAGTTTTAAGATTACGGTATAGAAAGGGTTGAAAATGACTGAAAATCAATGGGAGTCAATACATGGTCCTCACTACATACAGCAGAACAAACATTTGTGTGTGTGTTTCAACTGTATGTCAAAATACACTCGTGACATTATTGGAGTATCAGTTGGACTCATCCAGTCAAATTGTGAAGGACATCCTGGATAATAATATGATAAATTGTATCTAAAAAAAAAAAAAAAAAAAAAAAAAAAAAACCATAACAAATATCTGTCGTTTTTACTTGGTTTATCATGTTTTATTTCCTTTGTTATAAAAATGGCTTGTTTTCTTTATATCAACCACCACCAGGGGGAGACAAACAGATATATCCCATTTTCTGGTGTGAAATAAAGCACTTCCTCAGTCTTACTTGAGCTCAAATCAAACATATAAATAATAATTACTTTTCTATAAAATACTACTCAGGGTTTCAGCAGTTTAAAAAATGCATAGATTTTAATCTGCATTAGAGTTTACATTAAACCCAGGACCATATGTAAGGTAGGCCAATATAGATTAACTAAATGACCATATAAATTATAAATACATCGAGACTGAGATGAAAGAATAATTTTTTATTAATCCTAATGAAAAAAGATTAAGAAGAACTGTTAATAAAGGGGTTGTTTTAGACTGCCTGTATACCCCACCTAAAAGTAGAAGGCCTGTAAGACTCTGTGTAAAAGTGTAAAATGTTATAAAGCTATAATGAAAGTTTATTATGTGATATTTTTCTATTAAAAAAAGTAAATTGAAAGGAAAATTATATTTTATTGCCAACATTTTCCCATAAAATTCTGCATAGTGCAGTTCCAATTACCCCATGTTGTGCTGATACCCCTTAGTCTGTTTCAGTGGTTAATACTAAGGCAAGATTCGGGTTGTTGAAGAATATGTTCTGAATTTCTTTTGAAGCACATTTGAATCCACTATCAAATGTTGATCATCTCTCTTTTCAAAGTTCCTGTGCAAATGACAAGAATAGTATTAATCGGAGTAGCTGTCAAGATAGAGAAGGTACATAAATAAACAGTAAAGCTGGAAAAATCTAACAGTAGAACATCTAGACTTTCCTTCAACAATCATAAAAAACATTAAAGAAATTACTGAGAGAAAGTTTGTTTAAAGTTGGGGCGGGCGGGGGGCTTCCTCACAAAAACGAAAGAAAATCAACCAACAAGTCAAAACAAAATCTTATTCGTACAATGTTTGATGCGAACTACAGCTATTATTTGTCTAAATCATCTCCATGGTGAACCGCTGCTGTGGAAGCATTATGGGGTAAAAAAAAAATAAAAAATTAGCCAATAAAACGCATTTCAGGCTTTGACTATGTCACAATACTCGTTTAGCCAAACATATAAATATGTTAATGTTTGTAATAGCTTTTTCCACAAAAATGCATCTAAATACTCTAAACCTCACATTGCCCCAGTCGTGCTTTTATTTTGAAGTTGGGACGCTTCCAGCACTTCCGGTTGCTTTGTGAACACACCGCTCCTCCGCTCAGGCTCCTGTCTTCATGCTGTTTTCCGTTCCTCGCCTCGGCTGTCCTGGGAGGCTCCGGCCTGGTGTCCGAAGGGCCCCCAGTCACTGAGAACCGGTAGAGAAATGTGTCCGCCGTGTGCGGAAGAGGCGAGAGACACCAGTATTAAAAACACAGGTAAGTTTTTCTGTCTCTCTGTTTACTGTGGGGGAACGTTTGTTAGCTGGGAGAGATTTTCCTGCCGCAGCGCGCTGCTGTGGAGCCGCCGGGATGAGACATCGCTTCCCGTCTCTAGTCAAAGGGCTGCTGTTTACAGCAGAGGGTCCGCCCGAAAAAGCTCCCTCATAAATGTCTCTAATTAAATCATGAACAGAGTCAGAAAACCATCAGATTTAAGACAAACGAGGAGAAAAACACAATGCAGATAGAGGCCAGCTAGGTGTTTTATTATTTTGGCTGTAAACAAATAAAAATATAAATAGTTTCTGCAATCGTTTATGTTGTCGATCAAATAATAAAGCATTAATTAATTACTACCTGCGGTATCACAATATAATTATTTTATTGCCTTAGGCTTTTATCACGGATACTACTATCATTATTAGGGGAAGTCATGGAAATAAACCAATATATGTTAGATATATCACAGCTGCTTATTATAAGACGCTAATGTATTCATTTAGAGAATTAGAACTTAATCTTAGTCATATTTATCAATAGGACTGATCTCTTGTCAGATAATCTTCAGTGATTTTAAATTCTTAACTACCTGCTGCAGACTGTGAAATCTTCCTCCCCACTGTTGCTCCAAGCATGCTTAGTGTGAGGGATTGTCTTTGAGTCAATAAGTCGATCCGATCAACTGGTTTCCTTAGATAGAAAACTTTAAATCAGTTTGACTGGATGATCTAGTTGAATTGTCTTTGTACAGTGCCTTGAGGTGACATGTGTTGTGAATTGGTGCTTTTAAAATAAATAGAATTGGGTTAAACACACCAAAACCAGCCTGAAACATGGTGTTGGTGGGGTCATGCTGTGGGGATGGTTTTCACAGGTTAGAGCGGATAGGTAAGGATGTGTTGAGTAACTTGATATCTAAGACTGGAACTTATTAATGTTGAAAACACACTCCTTTATTCTGTCAGACCAGCATATCCATTGTCAATACCCGTTTATCACTTTAGTTTTGTACGAAAAATACGCTTTAAACTACCTCAATCCGCGTGCAGGGCCGGCGATTACTACAGGCGAGCTAGGCAATTGCCTAGGGCGACAAATGTGTTGGGGGCGCCCTCTAGCGTCGCCCTTAGGCTTACTTCCCATTAATCATAGAATTAGAAAAAAAAGCGAATTAAACCGGTTATGAAGCGTCCGTCAGTTTGACTTAACCTTACGTATATATAAATAGCAAAATATGAACAAATAAATATACCACCGTTTTTTTATTTATTTTTTCACATTTAAGAGAAAATCGGAAAAGATTCTGATCACTTTTCAAGCGCCCTCCAACCCGGAAGTCGTGACGTCAATCACTGCAGCATGTACACCAATATTTTGGAATGAAATTGTAAGCAAACAGATATTAAAAGTAAAACAAGTGAAGTCTGGCACTTAACTTTGCTCGCGACTCGAGAATGGCTGAACGGAAAAGACTCCTCCTCCTCCTGCCGCCGCAGTCGGCAAAACTCAATTTCGCCTAGGGCAACCAAAGGGCTAGAACCGGCCCTGCCCGCGTGTATCCCTTTAGTCATCTACAAAAAAAACAAAACAATTTAATTATTTACTTTTTGGTGTTTCTTTTTTAAGCGTATGGAGATCTGACTTTAAATAGTTTTTTGTTCATGACTAAAGGCATAAACATCCTTTTAGATATTTAAAAGTTTAAGCTAAAGGAATAAATGGGACTAGCATATACAAATGCAAATGTGATGTCTTGCGCATGTGTATTGACTATGGGTATGCTGATCTGACAGAACACCTGCTCTCTTCTATTTCCTACATATATTGAGAGGATTAAACAGACAAGCTGTGCAGAAAGGAGACCTTAAATCTAGAAAGGATTCTAACTAACTTGATTCTGACTAGATTAAACTTTCTGTCCTTATCCTCATGTTTGGTTGGAGTATTTTTTTCACACCCACAGGACTGTTAAAGTCTAAACACTGCAGCATTTTTGTTGTTGAAAATATAAAGAACCAAAGCAGAAAGATTAGATCGATATATGAGCATGGAAAAGGGGTTAACTTGCTTGAAAACTGTTCAACCGAAGGACAGTGGGAACAAATACCAAATTTATTAAGCTGGAGTGACTGAAGGGCGTGTTACCTAACTCTGCTCAGGGAGAGGGAGGTCTGTTTGGGAGAAAATTCAGTCTGTCTAAACCTTGGAGGCCTTTTTTCCAGTCGTAGGCTTTCACAGTCAGAGTATCTCGGTTTAAAAGCTGCGATAACTGTGTTTAGTAATCAAAAAAAAAAAAAAAGGTTGTACTGTTCTCCATAAATCAGTGTTTAAGTCCCAGGTTTGATTGTTTTCAGTATTAAGAATGTGTTCGTCTGCAACAGAGGGCTTTTTTTTAACTTAATGACTAAACATGTTTTCACTGCTTTCCTTTTTTCATTAAGTGAAGCTTCATGGGGAGAATACCATGCATACCAAAAACTAGGCTTAAACCTCAGTTCAGTTATTCTTGTACATAGAGAAAATCTGCATATTTCTGTAAGTCTGCAGATTCAGTGTCAGTGCTGCTGATGCTTTCAGGTTCTTTGGGTGTTTTTCAAGCACTTCTGTTTGAAGTTGTTGCAGGGAAAATGTTAACAGTGTGTTTTCCCATAAATGAGCTGCAAAGCCTACTGTAGTTTCCAGGAATGTTGGCATTCACCCGTCTCTTAATCTATGCATTTCTCCAAACCACATTTCCTGTTCTTTTATGCTTTCCAGTTGCTGCCTGAACGATTGGAAAACAAACAAACAAACAAAAACAAAAATAAAGCTCTGATATAGAAAAGCAGATAGAGACCCTAATCGCTCCTGTAATAAATGGTCCCACCTGGCATCATTTATCCAGTATGTTTGGACCCTCATATTTTATTTATAAAGGTTATTTATGCTTTTCCATTATGAAAATGTAAGAGGGGTTAGGTGTTTTTTTTTTTTTTTGCAGATTGCAAGATATGATTTTATTCAACTTGAGCTGAGATCCACCAATCATCAGAGTTATGAGCTTAACGGGCCTTAGTCAGGGAGGAGACACATACCCCATTTACACTACCCTTGAAAAACTGATCCATGCCGAGACCGGTGCGAGCTCGGATCAGTTAACCAGGCCAAGCTTGGTTCTGACAACCGTTTACACATCACACTATCTCCGTTCCTCGACTCCTCGCCTCCTACTGACGATCTGCGGTATTACTGCCAGTATTGAAGGAGGAAATCAAGCAGTTGATGGCAGTAATGCACCAAAAGTTGTTTGCCAACCGCCATAAAACACAAGAAGAAGAAGACGAAGAAGGAGGAAATTTAAGCAAATCAAAATGGCGGCGCCCGTGACATTCAGAAAGTTATGCTTGATTATTATTGCTGTACTTCGGTGTTATTATTTAAAATGCCATTATTTAAAATGTTGCGTGGAGAAGATTTTGATTGTTGTTTATAGTTGTTCTTCTTCTGTTTTGTGTTGATTGGCAAGCAATTTCCAGAGGGGCATTACTGCCAACTACTGGAATGGAGTGTGAATCGCGATGTGCAGCCAGACGGAGATGACGCGTTCTGCTCATGCGCTCTTGTTATCAGAGAACTGAGCCAGGGAAAAACCGAGCCGAGCCCACCTCTGGAACTGGTCTACAGTTGGCTCGGTTCGGTTGTGTCGGTTCAGTTCAGTTTGCTTTCCATTTACACACAATAAGTTATCTCAGTTACTGAGCTCGCACCGGTCTCGGCACGGTGCGAGCGCGGTGGGGTACAAGTGCCCCTATGGAGAGGTATGAGAACCCAGAGCACACAGATCTCAAATGAGTGGCTTCAGAACCAGTCTGTGTATATTCTGGTGTGGCCAAGCCAAAGTTCACACTTGAATCCGATCAAAAATCTCTGGAGAGAGATCTGAAAAAGGTCGCGCATAGACTTCTCCCTTCCAACCAGAGGGAGCCTGTACGGCGCTGCAAAGACGAATTCGTATCCATAATCCATAGTGAAAAAGACTCAGGGGTTTCATTTCTGCCAAAGTAGGATCATCAAAGTGTTAAACAAAGGCTCTTGGTGTTTATGTAATTTATTACTTATTTTTAGATTGATTAATTTGTTATAAACTTCAAAGAAATCTTATTTTCGCACTGGCATAATTGGGTTTTGTGTGTAGATTTTTTAATTTACCGTATTTTCTTGTGAAAAAAGTAGCGGCTTATCATCTGAAAATTACGGTAATTGGATACCATTTAGAAGAAGGTGTAACTTTATCAGAGGAGGAAAAAGTGCAGCACTGGAAAAGTTTTCCAGATGTAAAATCTGCTTTAGATGAAATTTAATTCTCAGGCAAGGCTGTTGATTTAGATGAGTGGAAATGATGTCTGGTCAGACTGAGGTCCTCGTTAAAGTCCTTAAAATGATTGAGAATCTTTGAATTGGTGTTTGCAGATGCCCCCCCATCTACTCTGTGTCCAAACTAGGGCTTTTTTTTTTTAAAGAAAAAGGAAATGATCATATGCGATGCCTGCCTCCTTTAACCACTCATGGTATATGACTGGTTTTTATTATTTCACTGCAATCCTGATGAGTTTGCCTATTTCTCAGTTACTATCAGCTTCATGAACATCATTGAAAATCTTTTCTCAAGAAAACAATCACAGCCGTCATATTATGCCATATTCTACCATAAACATGTTATAAGTTTGTGCTACTGAACATATGAAATAGTATAAAATAGCCTCCTATATAAAGTTGCTCTTTATGGGGCTGTAGTCCAACAAAACTTTTTTAGGTCAATAAATTATAAATAATAAAAAAAAAAACTTTTATTTGTTTAACTTAATGACTGTTAAAGGGTCATCCTGTACGTCACGTTGCGTTAAAGCTTTTCTCCCACAACCCGTTTGCCCCGCGCCCATTCCTCTTCTCAACAGCCTGACTTTCTGAAAGCCATGTTTATGAAAAATGATTGACATGCAGTAGCAGCCAATGAGAAGAGCTTTAAAACGATGGGCTGGACTGAGGAGATCATCCTGATCGATCGACTCACACTGTGGGATATTAAGCACTGTAATCTTGAAGGAAACTTTGTAGTCTTCAAAATCAGAATATGTTTTTTTTTTTTTATGGTCCATTAAGTGGTGAAAAGCTTAGAACAGAATTTGGCACATTGGGACTCATTTAATAGTAAAGGTCCTGCAGCATCAACATCTCTTTGATGTAAAATGTTAGCCACATGCTATCAACATTAACAACAAATTTAGAATATTATACCTAAATGTTATGATAAATGTCCAATCAGCAGCATATTACACGCCAAGAGAGAAAAAATATCACATTTTAAAAAATGATTTTCAATGCTATGGTTTAGGTTGTGTTAAAGTGACAGTGTTGGGGATATTTATTACCAAAAAACAAGAAGGTCTGCCTTTGAAAATACATCAAATTGCAAGCATGTGGGATGTTAGGAGAAGTTTTAATCTGTAAACTTTTTGATATGTTTAAGTTTTGTGTAAATTCTCAAATCAGGCCGGTGATCAGAGGATGAAACTTGTTTTTAGTCTTCACCCGTGGAGCAAAGCCTCATCTGCAGGTAACACTGGAACAATGGCTGCTCTGTTTATAAAAAAGCTTTAGAGATGTACTGGCAGATCCACATGCAGAGTCACTCTTTAATCCAGTTTTGATAAAGACCGGATCAAGCTAAACTTGGGTGATCTGAGTCAGGAGATGTGCAGCAAATATTTACTCTTCAAGCCCAGCTTATCTTCCTGTGCCGGAGAAATCTATTTGTATTTAATTTTTTTTTTTAAACACTCCACTCACTGCGATAATGTGACATTTTTCTAGATGACGTGACCTTTTTGTGGTCATACATGATCTTATGAGTTAATTCTTGCTCTAGGCCACTGTTTGAGGCTTGAATTATAACGTTTATCTATTCATGCCAAACCTCTTTTTTAGGCTTTACACAATGGATGACTGCAGACTGCAGATGGAGGAATTCAACTTACAGCTGTAACTGCAATATGGCAAAGTGTCAACAGAAACATTCCTGACCTTAACACCCATCTTTAAAAATCACAAATTGGGCCAATACAGAATTTTTTATGTTGCTTTTTTTTTCTAAAATTGACACTGTCAGTTGTTTTAAGGTCAGAATATAATTTCAATATTTCTCTTATGTTATTGAAAACAAATCAAACGCCCATAAAGCCATACATAAAGCATTAACAGCAGCTCATTTTCAGACCATAAACTGAAATTTTGTTTATGTCACTGATTGAGTCTTGTTGCAAATGATCTTATTGAAAGCTATTTTTGTAGCTAGGGATGTCCCAGCTTAAATGGCTTAAAACAACACCATTCCTGGCTCTTTGAGTTACGCAGGCATGAATTACAGCAAACAGAGAGAGTAATCGTCTTTTTAAAGCTTATTTTCCTGGAACCCTTCAAACCAAACATTAAACTGTCTTTCTTTCAATAAGTTGAATGGAGTATATAAAGCACCATCAGGCTGTGACCACACCAACACCCTTCAGGCTCCACCGGTTTTTCAGGCTGCCAAGGCGTGAAAGAGAGCTGGGCTTTCAGCAGATAACAGGAAGGTCATTTTGACATCATTTTGAACTTTCTGCTCTCTTGCTTGTTATAAAGATAATTCATCACCATAACAGCAGGAGAGCTTTTCTTCTACTTATGATGTATTGTTATAAAGAAAAAAGAAAAAAATGAAAATTTTCAAACAAATGTGGAGTTGTTTGGTCTAAAGTGGCTTTTTTCTCTTAACTGTTTTCCAACAGTTTCTTTTTCCATGTCTGTAGGTTTGTTAGATTATTTGAAGGAAATATTTGTAGTTATTGTTGTTAGTAATATTGAGCTATTTGCATCGCAGTGTTGAAAATTAACCTTAAAAGGAAAGAAAAAAATCTCAGACAGTAATTTTTCGCCCTTCTCATCATGTTCTTAGTAGTTCTATCAGTCATGCTTTGACATGAAGGAGCAGCTGTAAAGGTTTGCTCTTTTTTATAAGCTGTCATCAGCATAATACGTTTCACTTCCTTTTTTTAAATAAATAATTTAAGTGTTTTCCTGTTTCAACATTTTTCTGATGTTGTCTCAGCATTTTTTGTTTCTTATTAGCCTTGATCCATCAGTGAGGTGACCTGATTCACACACAGTGGCTCTTCAGTAGGTTCATGTGTTGTTTCGGTGTGATAATGTGGGATTATACATAGATGAAATTGTTTGATCTTAAACAGTATTCCAAAAAAAAAAAGTCAATATTGAGTTTTTAAGTATTACTCCCAGAGAAACATCTGTTTCCAGTTTGATAATCAGTAACATGTCCGTCCTATGGGCTGTATAGATGGCGATGCTTATTTTGGACTTGTTTGCCTATTTGGGTTTTGTTGGTTGTTAATTATTAAGAAGAACTTGTTTTAACAATCAGAGATTGTAGTCGTTTATGCATCACATGGAGTCAAATGTCAGGCGAAAAACATCCAGCTACCCAAAGCTGCTCCTCTTTAGAAGATGTGTCATGCTCTTGTTGATGTTGGGAAATGATGGCAGTGCAGGCGCTCTATTTCTTCAGAGCTATCTTCTCAGCATTTGACCTAATCATTTCCTCTACTCCTCTTGTCTGTGTTTCTCCTTCAGCTGAATAGATTAAACCACAGCTGTGAAATCATTCTTTTATAAGGGAAAAGTAAATATATCTTGATTTATTTCTGATTTTTAGAGGTTCATTATGGCTCATTTATATTGATCCATACTGCATTTTAAGAAGCCAATGATCATGGCTGATCTATGCTGATAATTAGGTGGGTGTCAATACTCAACAGCAACTTGTAAATGTTTTTTTAAATAAATGTATTTATTTTTGTAAAATAGTATTTGCATAATGATGACTTGTGTTTTTACACCTAAAATACTTCAAAGCAACATAATTTTCCAGCACCGCCTAAATCTTTTAACTCCAAATACAATTTGCAGGTGAATATCATCAAGAGTCACAAAGTTACTCTCCTTTTGTGAAATTGGATCTCTGTATAAAGGCAGCTGCTTCATGAACTGATCAGAGGTTTGTTAGAGGAAATCATCGACCACACAACATAAAGACCCAGGGACACAGCAGAAAGGTCAGGGAATCAGAGCTAGGTTATAAGACAAAATGATAAGTTTATAGCTCCTCAGAGCATCTTACGAGCCAATCTGTTTTCCTGAAATTAAAATAGTGTCACACAGCTGTAAACCTACCAAGACATGATCATCTATCTGAACCAACAGGCAGGAGAGAGAGAGGCCTGTGCTAACTGCTGAGGACTGCAGAGATCCACAGCTTAGGTGGAAAAATCTGTCAACATGAGAACTACGAGAGCTTCACTGCATAAATCTGTTGTTTATAGAAAAGAAACAAGACATTAATCCAGGAAGACCTCTGTTTAAGAAGATGCTCCTAACAGTAAATACTAGATAAAACCACAAAATATATAACCGGCATGCAAAACTCTTAAGGTGTGATGGAAGCTACTGAGCTGCATATTCCTTCAGAGTAGGGCTGAAAAAATGAATCCGATTATTTGTGATTGATCGATTGTTGAAATAATCGTCAACTCATTTAGTAATCGATTAATCTTTAAATGGAGTATAGAGGCTTGTAAAAAGAAAAATATAAACAATTTGCATTTAAGATTAAAAAAAAATTGTCTGTCCATATGCTCTGTCAAGAACTCCTCAAGTGGAAAAGTTTTTGTTTCACCTGGGGTTTTTGTAAAAAAAAAAAAATCTTTAAGGAACCTTCGTCTATCTGATTATTAATTGATTATTTGAAAAAATAATCGACTGATTATAGCTAAATAATGGTTCGTTGCAGCCCTACTATAGAAGGTTGGAGATGTTAACTGTCTAGCAGTGAAAGGATCCAGAAAGGTTAAAGAACTGTTACTGTTGTATAGATAAAACTGTTGAAGTGACCTAAATTCAGATGAGAATCTGCGGCAGCAGAAAGTCATTTAAAACTTTCATGACTCAAATATTCACCTTTTTGTCTCTAAAGAGCAGCAAATGCAATATTTTTTTATTTCAGAGGAACAGGTTAAATATTTCCTGTACGTAATCAATAGACTGTTTATTTTATTTCTGCTCTTTTACAGATAAACCATCATGATTCCCATCACAGAGCTTCGGTACTTTGCTGACACCCAGCCAACATATCGCATCCTGAAGCCATGGTGGGACGTGTTCACCGACTACATCTCAATCATCATGCTGATGATTGCGGTGTTCGGTGGGACGCTGCAGGTCACGCAGGACAAAATGATCTGCCTGCCCTGCAAGTGGATCCTCAACGACACTTGCGACGCCATGCCAAACGCCACGGGCCCCTACCGTCCAGAACCCAAGGGCATTCAGTATGACCTGGACCGACATCAGTACAACTATGTCGACGCTGTCTGCTACGAGAACAAACTGCACTGGTTTGCTAAATACTTCCCCTATCTGGTGCTGCTCCACACTCTCATCTTCCTGGCCTGCAGCAACTTCTGGTTCAAATTCCCACGCACCAGTTCCAAACTGGAGCACTTTGTCTCGATCCTCCTCAAGTGCTTCGACTCGCCATGGACAACGAGAGCTTTGTCAGAGACTGTGGTGGAGGAGAGCGACCCCAAACCTGTGGGGAAAATGAACGGCTCCATGGACAAAAAAGCCTCGAGCGTGAGCGAGGACGTGGAGGCCAGTGTGCCCATGCTCCAGCGAACAAAGTCCAGAATCGAACAAGGAATCGTCGATCGCTCTGAAACCGGGGTCTTGGACAAAAAGGAAGGGGAGCAAGCCAAAGCGCTTTTTGAGAAGGTGAAGAAGTTCAGGATTCATGTCGAGGAAGGCGACATAGTCTACCGCCTTTACATTCGTCAGACTATCATTAAAGTGATCAAGTTCATAGTGATAATAAGCTACACGGGTTATTATGTAGGACAGATCCGCTTCAGCGTGGTGTGCTCGGTAAACATCGAGAAACTCACAGGATACCGCCTGTTTTATTGCGCCCACCCATTAGCTACTCTTTTCAAGATCCTGGCCTGTTTCTACATCAGCTTGGTGGTGGTTTACGGTCTCATCTGCATGTACACGCTTTGTTGGATGGTGAGACGCTCCCTCAAACGGTACTCCTTCGAGTCCATTCGTGAGGAGAGCAGTTATAGCGACATCCCTGACCTCAAGAATGACTTTGCCTTTATGCTACACATGATTGACCAGTATGACCCTCTGTACTCGAAGCGCTTCGCCGTGTTCCTGTCGGAGGTAAGCGAGAACAAGCTGAGGCAGCTGAACCTCAACAACGAGTGGACGTTAGAGAAGCTGAGGCAGCGGATCACAAAGAACTCCCAGGACAAACTGGAGCTGCACCTCTTCATGCTCAGCGGGATCCCAGACACGGTGTTCGATCTGGTCGAGCTGGAGGTGCTGAAGTTGGAGCTGATCCCGGATGTGACTATACCCCCCATCATCGCCCAGCTCTCCAACCTGAGGGAGATGTGGCTGTACCACACTCCAGCTAAAATCGAAGCTCCGGCGTTGGCCTTCCTAAGGGAGAACCTGAAGTCCCTGCACATCAAGTTCACAGACATCAAGGAAATTCCTTTGTGGATCTACAGCCTGAAGAACCTCAGCGAGCTGCACCTGACTGGTAACCTGAGCGCTGAGAACAATCGATTTATTGTGATCGATGGGCTCAGAGAGCTCAAAAGTCTGAAGGTGCTGCGCCTGAAAAGCAACCTGACCAAGCTGCCTCAGGTGGTGACGGACGTTGGCGTGCATCTTCAGAAGCTCTCCATCAACAATGAGGGCACCAAGCTGATGGTGCTCAACAGCCTTAAGAAGATGGTCAACCTGACAGAACTGGAGCTCATTCGGTGCGACCTGGAGCGCATCCCCCACTCCATCTTCAGCTTGCACAACCTGCAGGAGATCGACCTCAAAGACAATAACCTGAAGACCATCGAGGAGATCATCAGCTTTCAGCACCTGCACCGCCTCGTGTGCCTAAAGCTCTGGTACAACCAGATCGCCTACATCCCCATCCAGATCGGAACCCTCACCAACCTGGAGAGGCTCTATCTGAACAGGAACAAGATCGAGAAGATCCCCAGCCAGCTTTTCTTCTGTCGCAAGCTGCGCTTCCTGGATCTGAGTCACAACAACCTGACCAGCATCCACCCAGACGTAGGCTTCCTCCAGAACCTGCAGTATTTCGCCGTCACAGCTAACAGGGTAAGAAGCTAAAACATTCGTATTGATCCGATTTAGAGCTGCGTCTAAAACAATTTGCACCCTTGAAGCTTTCATAATAAAATCGATATGATAAAATGTCTAAGTGATTAGAAGCAGGCTGTCTGGCTGATGGACTGTTACCTCCACAGGTGAGTAAACTTTGTTTATAGGCACCCCCATTCTTTTCATTACTTTTCTGTAATTAATGTCAGTTTTCTTCTTCATGCCCTGTTTATTTATTCACCGTATAGTGCTTTTATTAATCTTCTTTGGACTCCCTTAATAGGGTTCATGGCCCCACCTACTACAGGGATCTTTTGGAAAAACAAACATTTGCAAGGGGTCCACACATTCGGGTTAATTTTTAATTGAACTTGATCTCAAACTGGAGAAATTTACCTCTGCATATAACTAATCCCCTTGGGAAGCAGTGGGCTGCCACTGTGCGGTGCCCGGGGAGCAGTGTGGGGTTAAAGGTCTTTGCTCAGGGACCCAGAGTGCAGGTTGTCGGGATCAAACCGGGTATTTGCAACCTTCTCAGAGCACAAGCACGCTGTTCTAACCACTAGGCCAACACCAGGGTTAGAGAAACTATGTTTCAAAGTTAAAACGGATGAATAATCTAGGAATTAAACTGGTAGGTTTAAGGTAAACAAACAAGGTTTAAATAAAATGTAAGTATTTGAGATGACAAAGCAGACGACATAGGCTACGGCTTTATGAGGCGTTAGCTATTATGTTTGTCTTTCTTTAACACATCCTGGTTAATGACGAAATGGTAGAAACAAGAAATCCCTCAGATAGAAGCTGTCCAAACAGCTGGTTGCGTCCCGTCTGGCTGTGCAGAAAGCTCCACTTCTTCAGGGTCAAAGTTTTATATTTGTGCTGTTGTTCATCTGTTTGGAAGCCACTTTCACACATTTACAGTGCGAATGTAAACACTGAGTTTGGGGCATGCCCAGCTGCAGCTTATTTGCATAAAGGTGACAGAGACCTAACAGCTTTTTCTGAAAGGAACTCAAAATAGGAAGTGAGGAGGTGAAATCTCATTATGTGGGTGATTTTGTCCAAAAAATATAATAAATCACTTTCAAGTTTCAAGGTGTCATTTGAAGGTTTAAAAGAAGCATAATACGCCCCCCTTAAAATAAATATACCACATTTACAGTTTGTTCATGGAAACTTTATTATACAAACACTTTTGGTTTGGCTACGTTCATTTCCACTGCACAACTGGAAATATTCTCAGACAGCTATTCTTTTCTTTTTTGAACACAAGGGAAAGTGTTGTAGTGCCAGAGCAATGCTGCTCTACGCCTCTTGCTCAGTCAGACATTGTTTCACCCTTCAGCATAGAGACTTTAAGCCACAGGAATGGTGTAATGTAAAATTTTGCGCTTTGGGTACTGTAGCTTTTTTTAAGCATCTGTTAATCTTGATGCCTAGATGTTGCTTCAGCCTTTTTTGAGGAACTTGTTGAACGGTTTCGTTATTGCATTGGAAAAAAATTACCACATATTTCTTGTTTTAATTTTTATCTTAAAGAACTTTGATTTAAAACTCTGGTTTGTCTGTTTAGAAACGCAGCTTTGAGCTCTGGAGCGTGCAAACATAGTGTGTTTCCAGTTAGGACTACTATTAATGCAGTTTTACTGCGATGGTTTGTGTGGCTTCTTGCTGAAAATAACCTCCAGCAGGTCTGTTAGTAGCTGTGAATAGCTCAGGAACAGCTCTTTGCTGCTCCTTCCTCTGTTTACACTTTCCGCATATTATCAGGTTCAAATCAGCTTTAACAGTGAGCTTACATCATCCGTATTACGGCACTGCTAATATGCTGTGATTCCAGCAGAATTCAATAGGAATCTGTACTCTTTGCTATTTTTTGCTGCTGACTTCCTTGCAGAACAAAGTCAATACAAATCTTTATCACTCAATCCATTTTTGTCTTGTTTTTCTGTACTTTATATTTCCTCTGACATGTGGAAGATGTGAGCTGTGTTTAAAGGGGCCTTTTATCTTGTTTTCTCACCTCCTGTTTTCAGGTCTGGTTTGCATTTCATTCCTCCTGCTTTGACACGAAGTGGAAGCAGTTGCCTATTATTTTCATTATTGTTTACTGATCCATGAGAACAGTGCCCCGCAAAAGTATTCACAATATTTGAACTTTTCAAGGAGCAAACTCTTAATTTGGATTTATTTGTAATCAACCGACTTGTAGTAGAACGTAGTTGTGAAGGGAAATGAAGAAAGATGCATGCTGCTCGGTTAAGTTAAAATGATTTTTTATTCACCCCTGAATAAAATTAAAAACAGAAAATTGGCTTTCAAAGGTGTGCTTAGTTTGGATATTTTTTATTAAGGTTCTATGAAGATATTACGGTATTAGTAAAGATTAGCTGCTCCAAAAACCCTTATTACTTCTTTAAAAGTTAGATATTCTAAATGTTTGGGTTGGTGAAAAGCCAAAAGGTTGCCAGATTTAATCTACATTTTGACAAAATCATGGGAAGTATGTTGGTAACACATGGTGGTGGCAGGGTTATGCTTAGGGGACAGGAAAGTTGAAGTTTATGAGAAGGTGGATGGAGTAAAAGACTTGATGCTGAGATGAAGGTGGGGCTGACTGCATCATCGATTTTTATCCATATATCAGATTTTCTGTTTCAGTTTTTGGCAAATGGTGACTTTTTTTCCTTACCAGTGGTTTCATTGGGTCTCCATAGCTCAGAGTGACATCAGTTCACCACTGTTTGTTTGTAGATGTGTACTAATAGATAATAAACTAGCGAACTGTATGATACGACTAGCCGCAGACATTTAGAGTGGTTGTCAAGTTCCGTCAGGGTGGGGTCCACTTTGTGGCCTCTTCTGATCAGCAATTCCTCAGCCCGTTTTTACTGGCAGGTTTTAACTGCATCCCCCAATTGAAATGGATGGACTAATCTTTTCGATTAGTCTTTTAGACAACAGTCAGGTAAAAAGCTTAGGACAGAAAGATCTGACAGTTAGTGAACACATATTTAGAATAAAAATTATTGAACAACTCTAATTCCCATATATGTGAACAGTCTTACGAAATTTACTTAGAATCTTAAGCATAAATTATCTGATTAAATTATTAAATATCTGTTACCAAAATATAACACAATATTGCACATCGCCTATATATTTAACCATATATAATTTACAATATAACCCCATAAAACACAACATAAATGCCCATATCCCCAAAATGATTTACATCGCTGCTCATTCATTCACATCATTTGTTTTCAAAATAAAGCTAGTGTTTAAAAGTAACAGTTGTCTTTTTATTTCCAAAATTAAGGAAAAGCAAAATGGAGATTTTTATAGTCATGTTGCCCAACCCCAGATGGAGCTCTGAGGACAGTGACCATAACCATGCAAGGGTATAGATAAAGCACATCAGAGGGGTCCAATCAAAGTCCTATTGTTCCTCTAATCCAACAAAAAGTTTGCTATTTAGCCAAATATACTGTGTTTGTTTCAGTCAGGATGAGCTAAAGCTGGTGGAGACTTGTAGCTGTAACAGCTTTGAGATATTATTTACAAGGAATGAATAAAACCATGCATTATTTCCTTTGGATCTCACATTCATGCAGCATTTTGTGCTTTTATTGCATAAAACCCCAATACAATTAATTGTAGTTTGTGGCTCTAAGTGGACAAAATGCATTAAAATTTCAAGCAAGACTTTCTAATTTATCTAATGCAGTTCTTTTGATCTGTTTCAGATTGAGACTTTGCCCCCTGAGCTGTTTCAGTGCAAGAAACTTCGCACTCTGAATCTAGGGAACAACTGCTTGCAGACGTTGCCGTCGCGCTTCGGGGAACTGACCGGGCTGACCCAGCTGGAGCTGAGGGGGAACCGCCTCGAGTGCCTCCCGGTAGAGCTTGGCGAGTGCCAGCTGCTGAAGAAAAGCAGCCTGGTGGTGGAGGAGGACCTGTTCAACACGCTGCCAACGGAAGTCAAGGAGCATCTGTGGAGGGCTGATAAGGAGCAAGTTTGAGCCAAAATAAATAATGTTGACAGGAAATCACAGTCAGATATACAAGAGACTTGTTGAATCTTGGACAAAACCTTAAGAAGGATGCAGCTGCAAAGGTAAAAAGAAGAAAGTTGAACATCTACACATGATTTATGAGGAATCTTTTTCCAGGTTACAAAGCTGCAGAGTTGCTGTTAAATATGCATGCCATAGTAGGATCAATCTTAAATGATACTTGTTCATTGGACTTAAACAACTGTCAGTCAGCTAAATGTGCTCCTCTTGATAAATTGAGAGAGAGCAGGACAGTTGTACAAAGGGCCACTTTGAACACTGAATCTGCTCACCACACTTCTAGACTCCATATATTGGAGGAACTTTTATTTTTCCAGTTATGCACAACGTGGCTCATCGCATCCGCAGATGTTATCAAGCCATTTTATCCTCAATGGTTTCTTTTTCCTTTACGCTCTTTTTTTCTTAGAGTGAAATTTTTTTTATGGGCACAAAAGGACTATGATCACAAACAAATCATCACACAGGTAATCTCACAGCTCCGGCCTTAACCCTGTGACAACTGATGGGACATGTTGCAAAGAAATAAGATAAGAAACAAATGAAACGTAAAAACTCGTTAGCTGTAAATTTAAGCCTGATGCGGGCTGTAACCCAAACAGAAAGCTCCACTAGTATTCCATGGCTCAGTTTATGCAGATTTCATATGATACTTGTGATTTATGGGATTCAGAGACACGATTTGAGCAAATGAGGCTGACCCTGACTGAACATTTCCTGTTCACGTCCTGAACACACACACACAGATTAACTTAGGTGACCTTTGTTCATTTTCAGAGCATATTTTATTTCCAAGTCTAAAATGTAACTATACTCTTAGTCACATGTTTTTACCAACAGTTCAGCATGTTTTTCAGATTTAAATATAGCATGCAAAGAAAAGCCCCTCACACATTTCTTTTTTGTTTTTTGTCACCTTATTGAGTAAGATCATCAATCAAATCCTTCATATAACCAATATAAACCAAAAATAACAAAACACAGTTTTTAAATGTTGATTTGTTGATTTCTAAGGGGAAAAAGCTGTCCAAACAAATGTGGAGGTTGTATCAAAGTATAAATAACACATTTTTAAATAATGTCAAACACCATCCTTTAAATAGAACCCACCTAACAATATGAAGTAGGCTAAATGATTGGAAAAAAGGCAACATGAAAATAAAAGTGAGAAACAAAGACGGTTACAACTATTTAAAAGGGTTTCAAATATTTCCCTAAGGCTTTTAGACTTCAGCAAAATACAGCGAGAACAATTATCCACAAATGGAGAAAATGCAGAGCGTTTTTTGTGGAGTTGACTTGCCTACCAAAATTACTCGAAGACAACATTGAACACGTATTAAAGTAAAAGCAAAGCACTGAGGGACTGTGTTACAGTTAGGGGGGGATTTTTCACAGGATCAGGTTTTGGATTGCATTTTCCCTTTTAAAAAAAAAAAATAATTTTGTTATCTTAGTTGAATAAATAAATGTTTGTTGATCTGAAAAATCAATATGTGACAAACAAAGGTCAGATCTTAAAGAGGAAAGCTGATCATGCTAATCATTAAGCGAATTTATTAACAGACATTTCAAATTGAGGGATCTTTGAAAGTTATTTACAGAAGAGGTAGCCTGAAAGAGAGGGGAATGTCTGCGGTGCTGCTTCCATCCAGACTTTTACTGTACAGTCATCATGCTCGGGTTGCTCTGTGGAAAGGAGGAGACATTTGTCATTAACGTGTTTACTCACTCAAGGGGCAGTGGAGGACAAATAGGAAATTGCAAAACAAAGGGAACCGGTTTTGCTTCAGATTCCAAAAGGGAAGCGTTTTATCTTCTTTTTTGGCTAAGATTGTCGGGTTTCTATGTCCACCATTTACACTCCAAACCAGTGCTGCATGTTTATTGGCTTGAAACACTTTTCTTGTTTAGACGTTAATAGTTAATAGCATCAGATGGAGCAAATGTCTACTCCTGCCAAATGTCCCTTAATGCTAATGTAGCCTTAGCTTTTTGATGTTTTCTGTTTATTGGCTATATCCTGTTAATGATCGCAGACATCATCAGGTTTTTTTTCTCTTGTGCTTTAAATATCTTATGCTCTTTGATTCTTTACCAATGGTTCCTTTTATTTTAATTTTATCGGTAAAGTGTGAAATGGGCACAAGATTCTTCCGAATTGAGACCTCGAGTAAAACTAAATTATGTCACATCCTAATTTATTATATTTATAACGCAAAATCATCACTTAATACTAAAGCATGTTAAATATATTGTTATTGATAGCAGCATATTTTTTTTATTTTCATATAAGGTTGTCGCCGCCTTTCAGTCAGCTGATTGGCAGAGCCTATTAACGTGGTGGAGGGGAGCAATGCATTGCTCTATGCTTTATACAGTTTGAAAAGATTCAGCTTTTTTAAAACCTTGATTCCAGCGGCTCAAAACCGAGCGGGAAACAGTTAGAGATTGCTAGCATATTTTCTGCTTAAACTACGTTCTTGTGATTTCCTTTAAATTTTTATTTTAAAATAACTTTTAAGTGTTTTGCAAAACGTTTTTTGCTGAAAAAGAGGAGAGCAGGGGATTATGAATAGACGGAGAAGTCATCTGGTGACTATTTTTTACTGATTGGCCAATCAGAAACTAAAATCTCTTATTCAATTCAGTTTATTTCTATAGCGCCAATTAACAACACATGCCATCTCCAGGCATTTTACAGTTCACCAGATCATCCAGTCAAATTGATTCAGAGTTTTCTATGTAAGGAAAACCAGTTGATTGCATCGACTCATTGACTCAAATGCAATCCCTCACACTAAGCATGCTTGTAGCGACAGTGGAGAGGAAAACCTCCCTTTTAACAGGAAGAAACCTCCAGCAGAACCAGGCTCAGTGTGATTGGCCATCTGCCGGGGCCGACTGGGGTTCAAGGAGACAAGAAGCAGACAAGCCCATTAAGCCGCTAAAACAATAAAAAAAAAATACCAACTCCATTAACATATATTTTCTGTTTTAAAATAACAGTAACATGCTTTCAGAAATGTATAATTCTCATCTAAGCTTAAAATAAAATAAAAATCTCAGCTTTTTTTACAATAAAAATTTTGTAAATATGGTCCAAGTGCAAAATTATCCTGAAAGAAGAAAGATCTAAAATTTGAAATGTTGTTCTTTGTGCTACTTAAGGAGAATAAGCTTAGATCTGTATCAGCAGCTCAAGCTATAAAAATGTGTCCATCTGAAATCAGCAAAAAAAAATGTGCCCAGTGATTGTGGAATTTAAACAGTTTTTTTTCTTGTTTATAAAACGTTATAAATTAGTAAGAACACTTAAGTGAAAAGCAGCAGAAAACTACAATCGGCTATTTTAAATCATTCTCACTTTTTTGTTAAAAGAGGCAGATTTTTAATATTCAGCAGACCCTTAAGGACTTTGAGTATTTTGTCAGAGATTGATTTTCTTACTCTCTGCTCTCTTTGGAGGTTTAAAGCAAGCATTCCTTTGAAGATTTAGTTTAATGATTCCTCCCAGTGAAATCTGTGTCACAGAGGGCCCTTAACCAAAGTGATGACAGGTGTAATGCTACGCTAAGTTATCTCTATCTCTAGGTGTGAAAAGACAAGCCTAACTGAGGCAATGGTCTATAGATGGATTTTTCTGTTTTATAATACAGTGCCTTACAAAAGTATTTTGAGCTTTTTTTTCAACATTTTGTCACATTACAAGCTCCAACCTTAATGTGTTTAATTCAAATTTCATGAACCAACACAATGTAGTGCATTCTGTGAATAGTGTTAACACTCTTACATGTTTAGTTTTGTTCGAAAACCAAGAGCTCAAGGTTTGATCTGACCGGAGCTCCCTGAACTCCAAAAGGGATTTCTGTTTCCTTGCTTTCAGCAGGAACCATCTTTCGTCCACTCAAACAATTAAGGTCCAGATTACTGACATGTGCAAATCACAACAGGACGCAGTCATGTTCGTGGCTGGAACGGGAAGGAGTTCAAGAGGCATCTGTATTCTTGCAGAGCGCTGCAGGTCGAGACTGAGGCCCTTTGGGTGAACATTTAAAATCAAAGTTATTCATTCGCTTGCACAAAACACCTATACAGTGTGTTGTGCTACAGGGAGAGGCTGTGGGAGAATTTGATATTGCGAGCGATCATCAATGTGGTGCACTGCAGACCTCCCTCCTGCAGAGTATCAAATTAAAATGTAATCGCAGCATTCCTTGTTTCGCCAACGGTTCTAATGTTAAATTCTGTTAATGAAATCATGTGCAGCTTATTCAGATTTGATCAACGTCTATAGATTGATATTTATACATGTTTTTTTGTCTGTGACCTCTAGAGCTCTACTCAGTCATCATTTAATCTCTGAGTCATTCATTTCACTTGCTGCATGCTCTCTTTCCCCTCCTGTCAGCGTTTAGTAATCAGGCGAAGGCCCGACTTAAGGTCAGTCAGATGCTTTTCGAAAACCAAAGAAGGGAAGTTTTGGTTGCTCACTTCTTAGTCACAAGAACACTTGTATTCAATAATACAGGGTTTCCTATTTCTATTCAAGTAGTTATTGAAGGGAATTAAAAGCTTTGTTTTTTGAGCATTTGTGCTTAAATATTTCATTTCAACTTTTTAAAGTAGAGAATATCAGAAATGGTGCCGTTAGTGTGTGTTCTGTACGCTTTAGGTTATGTGTTTACTTGGTTTTAATTTCACAGACTTAGATTCGCATCAGCAGTTGGATCAGAACATCTGCATTTTCACCGTTTTTTTTTTATAGATATTCTGACACAGCTGAACAGAACCGGCCCATGACAATCTTAACTGGAAGCAAAGGCAATCTTCTTTGCGTGGATTTACATTCTAAGTAGGTCATATTTTGGCTTTAATTTGTCATAATCTCAGTATTAACTTATTGTTGAGAACATATTTTTTTGTGCTGAACTGCCATGGTTTCATTTATTCTCTGGATTTCTGTATATATTTTAAATACATGATTGTATTTCCGGTCTACAGTGAGTATTCTGATGCCTGTCTATCAGGGACTGACTTTTTTTTGTTGCTTTTTTTTTCCTCATGTGACTTAATAAAGCATGGGTTTGTAATTATGTGCAACACAGCCATACTAAAAACCACATTATTAACCCTTACAAATGGTCTCTTTGAATATAAACTGCAAACTGAATGGACAGATTTTTTGTCTGGATCATGTGTGACGATGCCTTCATGATGACAGTTTTTGACAGGTGAATGAAACACTGGCTTTTTAAGCATCTGTAAGGATGAATGTTCAGATCCTACTTTTATACACCTGATAATAAAATGAACAGTTAACGCTATTTCCTGCATTTTACAGTTTTTTTTGTTGTCCTCTTGGATTGTTCCTGTGTTAAAGAGAAGTTAAACTGCTGAGAAATAATTCTTACACACTATAAATAATGTTAAATATTTATTATTAAAAACAAATATTTAGTTTTTAATAATAAAATTTGTCATAAAGATATTTATATATGCTCATTCACTAATAGTGCCTCAAACTCTGTTATCTTGTTGCTGGATACAGGTTAGCAGCTTCTAGGTAAATGGCTCCAAACAGATAAAGAAGGGTGCTACCGACTGCTCTGAAGATTGATATAGATTTTAGGTACTCAAATGAAATGGGGCTGGGTCTCTGTTTTGTTTTGTGCGGATCCAATTAAAAAGTTAAACAAGCTTTTATCAACAAAGAAGTAAGTTTTTTTTTTTTTATATATGTTTGAGTTTACCTCCAGCTTAATAACCAAGCAGAGGAACAAAAAAAAAAATCAGCAATTTCAAAATAAAAATCTGGATGTTCAAAATAAATCTGCAAGTTTGAAAACAAAAACATAAAAAAAAAAAACAATCTGAAAAGTAGTTTTTCTTTAAAAAAAACAAACAAAAAATTGTCTTTTCTTTAGCAAGTTTTTTTTCTTCAGAATTTTTTCAGGGCTGGGTCTCTGTTTTGTTTTGTGCGGATCCAATTAAAAAGTTAAACAAGCTTTTATCAACCAAGAAGTACGTTTTTTTTTTATATGTTTGAGTTTACCTCCAGCTTAATAACCAAGCAGAGGAACAGAAAAAAAAAAAATCAGCAATTTCAAAATAAAAATCTGGATGTTCAAAATAAATCTGCAAGTTTGACAACAAAAACATAAAAAAAAAAAAAAAAACAATCTGAAAAGTAGTTTTTCTTTAAAAAAAAAACAAACAAAAAATTGTCTTTTCTTTAGCAAGTTTTTTTTCTTCAGAATTTTTTCAGGTTGGCTTGATTTTTTTATTTTATTTTTTTTTTATGGAACCGATTTGGCGGCAGAAATTATACAAGTCATCATCTATCCTTTGTTTACGGAAGAGGATTAGGGCCACGGGAGAAAACAAAAAAAGTTAACTGATTTTTAAATTTTTAAAAAAAATTTCAGTGTAATATGAGGAAAAAGTCAGAATTCTGACTTTTTTCTTATAATTCCTTTTTCTCAGAATTCAGACTTTAATCTCAGAATTCTGAATTTTTTCTCAGAATTCTGACTTTAATCTCAGAATGCTGAATTTCTTCTCAGAATTCTGACTTTAATCTCAGAATTCTGAATTTCTTCTCAGAATTCTGACTTTAATCTCAGAATTCTGACTTTAATCTCAGAATTCTGAATTTTTTCTCAGAATTCTGACTTTAATCTCAGAATGCTGAATTTCTTCTCAGAATTCTGACTTTAATCTCAGAATGCTGAATTTCTTCTCAGAATTCTGACTTTAATCTCAGAATTCTGAATTTCTTCTCAGAATTCTGACTTTAATCTCAGAATTCTGACTTTAATCTCAGATGTGGATCTTAATGTAGATGGGCACCATGAAGGTAGAGATGTTGGAGCACTCAGCTTCACTGATAAATATGTGAGTTGTTTGGGAGGAACAGTAACACATTGGAGGAAAATAACGCAATTAGGCAACTTTTTATGTGCCCGAGCGGTCCCCGGTGATGCCACTTTTAATTGATGGAGGAGTAGAAGGCGATTAAAACAAGAGAGCTGGTTGAGTCTCTAAAACAGACATGGCTATGGCTTGGTGCTAACATGTTTGTGAGATTAAAGTCAGAATTCTCACATTGTTCTCATATTAAACTGAAATAACATTTAAAAATCAGTTAACTTTTTTTTTTTCAGTGGCCCTTATCCTCCGTACTTTGGTACTATGGTCTGATTTTTTTTTTTTTTTTTTGCATTATTTATATCACAGCAGTGACATCTAGAGGCCATACTGTGTCACTGCAGTTCAAACTATGGGCGCTGCAAGGAAAGAGTTAAAATTGCAAAATCCTATTACACTACAGTTGTATTTAAATTGGCTTTGACAGCTCACGTGTTTAGACTGTCGATTACCCGGATGAAAAAGATAGGGGCTTCGCTTTCAAAAGGATCAAACTCCCAGTAGATCATCATGGATTTTATGACAGATCGGGACGTGCAAAAGGTAAGAATCACTTTACCGAAACACATCGAGATCTAAAGGGTAACGCTCTTGACCCCAAAAGTATTTCAATGCTGTAAAGAAAATGCACTGAAGTAAACTTCCTGCAGGATTGTAGCCACAGCGCGTGAAATGGTTAAAAATGTGGGATCATTACATAAACATGCTGCACCCATAGGAGGTCAGTCATGGGTGCAGAATGTTCATCTTTTACTGTCTTTAAAGCAACAGATAATTAGATGTTTCACTTCATCGCCTACATTGTGCAACAGATGGTTTTGATATATCTGCAAAAAGACTCCATTAGTGGGGAAAACAACAGACTGTTGATGGAAAATCCTTTTTTTTCCCTCCACATTTACATTACAGGTTTTTTATTTTTTCAATTGACGGGATTTGTAATTATTTGATATTCAGGTGGATAATTAAGCAGAAAGCAGAGGGATAGGAATTAATTTATCAAAGTAGTTACAGATTAATTTCGGAAGATACAAAAAAAATAGTTGTGAACATAAGCAGTTAAAACTTTACCTAAGTCTGAACTGTTGGAGACTTAATGTTTTATGACAGATTAGGCATTAAATTGTGTTTCTTACAGCAGAAACGCAATTTATAAAAAATAAAGCAGAAAAACCTTTCACCATCTGGTTTTAAAATCATAGACTCTACCATTTTAATTAAATTATATAGAAACGTAAATTTTGCTTAATATGAATCGCTCTCAATACTATTGAGAACTAAAAAAAGGGCTTGTTGTGTTGTAAGAAAATGCATTTGGTGTTTTTAGACTTAAACTCAACTTTATTTATCCGTTGGAATTACTCCTTCAGGGAAATTCTGGTTCCAGTAGCTTATATAGAGTGCAGAGATAAAGCAAGATGCCATTAAAGGTAAAAAATATTTTAAAAAAATACAACAGATAAAAAGAATAAAGAGACTGTATATAGTACTAAAGGGCGTAAGAAAAGTTGTAATGTTCTGGAATAAGTTTCCTTTAGATATAAAAGTTTCTGCACAGTGGAGAGCTAAGGAAAGACTACACAGCAGTTGAACTGGATTACTGCACTTGTACTGCAGAAATGTACTGGCCATAGAAATAAGGGCATTATACAGGCTACACAGCAGTTGGCATGTGTTACAGTGAGATAGAAGAATATTGCACAATAAGTCATGTTTTTGTAGGATCGATTGGTTTCTGTAAAATATCATCAGAGTGTAAAGAACTCAACATTTTTTCCAAAGATGTGGTAAACTAAGTTACATTTGCTTTGGCAAGTTTTGTATTAAAAAAAAACTACTTCACTGTACTTTTAAATGTACTAGTTTTGAAGATGTTAATTGAGAACAGTTTCTGGATCATCTACCCACCTGGACTCACCTCACTAAACAAGAACCTTGCATGTTTAAACCACCAGACAGATAACTCACCTGTGAAGTTTTTTGTAAAAGTTAAACTTTTTATATGTTTATTATATTATATTATATTTATTGTTCTAATTTAGTTTTCTGTCTTCTAAGCCAGATGTGTCATTTGTAGGTCACATAATTATATACAGTAAATTGTTCTGTGTATATTGTCACAGAAAGAAGAACATCAATATTTTACTTGAGACTTGATTATATGAAAAATGCTTTTTAAATCAAGTTCTGTGAAAATGTTTTTATTATGTTAATTGTGTTGATATTTCAATTTGCTCATAACTACATATTTCTGTATGTATGATTTCTTCATTTTCATCGTATAAAAAATAGATGTTATAATAAAATAGTTACTCACCAAATACTTTTTATTCATATGGAAATATTTTTTGGATTATTACTTTTTAATTCAACTTGTGTAAAGCTAATTTAAAGTACTTTTACTTTTACTTGAGTCAAATTTCTGACTCTTTTACTTACACCTGAAACCCAAAGAAATCCAACCTCAAAAGAAGAAGAAAAATGAAAATAGCTCTCAGAAAAAAATATATATATTTTTTTTTATTATTTCTGTTGAATTAAGAGGGTTTTTTTTAGCTCTAACTTTGAAATCCTGCTGCGTCCGCACAGTTTAACCTAAAGACACCATTTGAACTTTAGATGGGTCACAAAACTCGCTCTAACAAATTCTATGTTGTTGACTATGACTATAAAAATTCACCTGCTTGTTCCATATTAAAAATATTAAACATCAAAGAGGACATCATTCACTTACCCAATGATTTATCCATCCATTGTCTCATATCCTGGGCTTATCTCCAGCAGTGAGTGGAGTAATCTCCGTATAAATCAACAGTCTACACAGAGAAATCAACATGCACTCATACCTCAGGGTGCTTTGGAGGTAATCTAACAGTAATGACTTTGGGATGTGCATGCATCATAGAAAATCCCTACTGTCAACAACAGAATCCAGGATATTCCGCTACAGGGCATCAGTGCTTCCAATGGAGCCGGTGTGCAGCCTCAATATAATCCAGCTTTTCAATATACATATTCATTTAATGTGTAGGTGCGATGGATTAAACATGTCTGATCAAGAAGTTGCAGTTGCAGATCATTTCCAAACTTCAGTAAGAGCATCTTTTGTCCCTTCCTCTCTGGTTCTAAGTACAGGGAAGATGGATACGTGGTTCTAGACGGGCTGCTGACCTCTCAGGAGTGCGATGAGCTGAGGCAGAGAATGACAGAGATCGTGGAGCGTATGGACGTCCCAGAGCACTGCCGGACTACTTTCTCCACCTACCATGAGGAGCAGCTAAAAAAACAGGTGGCCTAATAAACAGAACGGCATGAGGGCAGTCAGTGTCTGCATTAAAACTCTTCAATCACCCAGATTTATTTATTTTTGCTGTTTCTCCAATGCTTTCCTTTACATCGATGAACACAGATGCAGGTAGGCCTGCAGAAAATCCCTCCCATCACTGTTACAGTGCTTGCAAAAGTACTCTTATCTACTAAAATGTTCCCATTACAAGCATAATTGATGTATTGTATTGGAAGTGATGATTTACACTAATACAACATATTGCAAAGTAGAAATTTAATTTACATACAGCTATTTTTGGTGAGTTTAGAGATTTATTAGAGAAGCAGCAGGTCAATGCGGAAAAAAAATGTTAAGATGACAAATGTCTGTTATATAGACTTGTATATAACCTCTATGGAAGAGTGATAGAGTTATTATTCTAAGATTGTAACCAAGACTTCAGCTCAAAATGTGTAAAACTAGTAGAAACATACCCACCTGGGTTTCTGCTGAGGTTGCAGAAGGTAGTGTTGACTAAGGGTGAACTTATATAGGTGCATGCCACATTTTTTGTTGTTGTTTGAAGCATTTAAAAAGCCATAATCTTTTCTTTTTTTGTCATTTCACAATAATGTATGACTGCTTAAAGGAATAGTACACCCAAAACATGATTAGCCTTCATTTTCTACTCACCTCCATGCTGAACAACACTCTGGAGTACTTTTTTGATATCTCAAATGCATCTGGAGATCTGGGAGGCTTCTTGCTGTCTGCTGACATTCAAATAATGGAGGTCCATGGCGCCCGAGACAGAAAGGTCCATAAAAGTCCACAAAAACGTGTCAATATTCCTCCATACTGCTCGTCCAATGTAATCCAAGTGTCCTGAGTGGGTAGCATCCAGAATTTACTCGAAACGAAGTCATTTAGAATGTTTTTAGAGCATAAACAGTAGTGTATAGGATTTCCTAATAGCGCCCCCATGCGCGCTCACGATTCTACGGAAGCCGGCAGACCAAACCAGCGCATTCAGCTCGGCAAAGAACTCATGCTCTTCCTCAACACTGAAGTCCTCAGACATTTTTCTTTCGTTGTTTCTTTCTTTGCACAGGTAAACAGCACATTTCTTCTTCTACGCTTGCATTATCGGCAGACCAGACGCTGAATGCGCACTTTCTTCCGGTTTGGTCTGCCGGCTTCCGTAGAATCGTGAGCGCGCATGGGGGCGCTATTAGGAAATCCTATACACTACTGTTTATGCTCTAAAAACATTCTAAATGACTTCGTTTCGAGTAAATTCTGGATGCTACCCACTCAGGACACTTGGATTACATTGGACGAGCAGTATGGAGGAATATTGACACGTTTTTGTGGACTTTTATGGACCTTTCTGTCTCGGGCGCCATGGACCTCCATTATTTGAATGTCAGCAGACAGCAAGAAGCCTCCCAGATCTCCAGATGCATTTGAGATATCAAAAAAGTACTCCAGAGTGTTGTTCAGCATGGAGGTGAGTAGAAAATGAAGGCTAATCATGTTTTGGGTGTACTATTCCTTTAACACTTTATAGGGCAAGTTACCATTTCTGAGCACTTGCATACTCCTTACAAATGGAGTCCCCTCTGACCCAGTGAGGTCTAGAAGCACAAGATCTATACCCAGCCAGTCAGCAAAGATACTGCTACATGGCTGTGCATCTTATTTTGGCATTTTACCAATTAGATGAACACTTAAATGATATATTAGCTACCGCAAATTAAGTTGAAAAAAAGGTAAAAACTTAATAACACAAGAAAAAAAGGTAAAACGTTAATTAAAAAGTTTAAAAGTCAAGAAAAAAAAGGTAAACAGCTAATTGAAAAGTTAATAAGCCTAGTTAACAATTATATTTAGGTTTATAAACTAAAAAATGTAAGTGCCACTATCAGCATTAATGCCTCTAAGGGTATGTTGGACCAAAAAAATGTGTTTCTTTGTGTTTTTCATGAATTTCTTATAGAAGCACTTATTTTTGTTATTTTTCTTAATATATTTGGGCAAGTTGGCATTTCTATTTATTACATTGACATTCATTATTGCCATCAAAATGTTACAAAGGTAATAAGGTCTTGTCCTGGATTCCAATAACACTGTTGACTTGAAAGTTGTATTTTTAAAGGATTTCACTGAGTGCCATAATAAAAAAATAAAGGGATAATTGTCTGTTACAAAAACAAGAAGTCTGGCTTTGACATATGACTAAATGCATAAACATTTTGCAAGGCAATCAAATGACCTTTGTCCCAAATTTCTCTCAGCCTAATGTCTTTGTTGTCATTTCTCAGCCTTATGTAAATAGTGTGTTTAGAGAGTGAGCCTTTCACCCCTTTCACCCTAGTGATGCAACAGCTGACAAGTGTAAATATCATGTCCTGCAGGGGAATGCAGATTATTTTATCACAAGTGGAGATAAGATCCGTTTTTTCTTCGAGAAGGGCGTTTTTGATGACAAAGGTGAGCTCCGACGAAACTCTTTCTGTCCTGTAAAATATTTCAACAAGTCATGAAAATCCAAATGAGCCAGAGCATATTATGTTCTTGCAGGGGAATTCATCGTACCGAAGCAGCAGTCTGTCAATAAAGTCGGACATGGTAAGATATCCTGATTGATGGAGTCGTGTCCCCTCTTTGATACCCTAACAAACTTTCCCCTTTTTAGCCCTACATGCATATGAACCTTTGTATAAGAAAGTTACACATTCAGCCAAGGTCCAGGTGAGTCATCTGAAGCAAAATATCAGAATATTTTTAATGGAAAACAAATAACCTGGATATTTATTCTTTAGGGGATAGCCAAGAAACTGGGTCTGGTTAATCCTGTGATTCTGCAAAGCATGTACATTTTTAAGGTAAAGGATGTTTGTCTTAAAATAAATGAAGAAACATCACAGAGTAAATGGTACAAAAGTACATTAAGAAAATAATTCATCCTTTTCAGCAACCAGGAATTGGTGGTGAAGGTATGAAAGCTTTTCTTTATTCTATTTAAGCTTTTATGCGTAAAACGTTGTAATCTCCAGAAAATCAAATGTCCATTTTTATTTATTTTAACTTTAAATCTCTGACTCAGACAATTACAATTATTAAATACTATGAATAATTAATAGTTCCGCGTCTCCATTGTTGTTGTTTTTTTATTAATCACTGTATTTAATAAAATTTATTTTTTATCAGCATTAAGCTTTGACTGAGCTCCGATTATTCCAATTTGTAATTTGATAAACGAAATAAAACATTGATGATGAATTATTACGGTGAAACTTTTATTTTCTAGCATCCAAACAAACTTTACTCATAGTGGAAGTCCCCAATCTATTTGGAAATGTCTTCCCTTGACAAAATCATTCAGGTTTTACCAATATTTTTAACAGTGAGGGGCAGATGAAAAAGTGGAAATAATGTTACTTCTACATCAATAAAATGATTAATATGCTGTCATAAAGTTCCATCCATCCATTTTCCGCCAAGCTTACCCCCAGCGGGGTCGTGAGTGGTGCTGGTGCCCATCTCCAGCTGTCTGCGAGAGGCGGGGTCCACCCTGGACAGGTTGCCGGTCCATCGCAGGGCAACGCAGACAAATAGGACAAGCAACCACTCACACACACACTCACAGGAGAATTTAGAGGAGCCAATTAACCTAACTGCATGTTTTTGGACTGTGGGAGGAAGCTGGAGTACCCGGAGAGAACCCACGCATGCTCAGGGAGAACATACAAACTCCACGTAAAAATACCTGGGCTGGGAATCGAACCCAGAATCCTCTTGCTGCAAGGTAGCAGTGCTACCGGTACTTGAAAGTTGATAAGTGTATTTATACATCAATGTTTCAATCCAAATGATTGAAATGAGAAGAGAGTTAAATGGAGGCATAGAGAATAACCCAAAACATTCTCGTTATTTATTTTCTTTTATTTATATTCTTCATGCTCAGCTGTTTGATGTGCCTCCAAATGTGACTAATGTGTCCTATTGATAAAACTGACTGAGAGTAAAGCAGCTCTGTAACAGACACTTATACAGAAAGATGATCACTGCTTTATGTGTCCAGTATTTAATCATATTCAAAATGCTTTTTTTTGTTAAAAATAGAATTAAATATTATATAAATATCGGTAGGATTATCCTATTTAGGGAATTAACTGTGGTAATGTTTTAATTTAGCCAATATAAAAATGACAACAATAGAGTCCTGCAAATAGCCAACAGAGACATCTTTTGGAGCCTTAGTTTTCTATTTTTTTTTTTTTTCATTTTTCGTTTGTCTGCTTCTGCTGCATAGTAGTCTAGTACTGGTAGTAGTCTTTGAGCTCCTTGTCCATTTGTAGGTTCTCTCTGGTTACTCTTATCAGCATGAATCTGTATGCATGGTTGTTTTCCCTCAGTGTTTCTGTGTTGCCCTGTGATTGATCTCACCCAGCAACTGTTAGAAATAGGTGGCAGCCGCTACATCACCCTGCATGAAAACAGCGGATCTACACTCACCGGCCACTTTATTAGGTACCCCATGCTAGTAACGGGTTGGACCCCCTTTTGCCTTCAGAACTGCCTCAATTCTTTGTGGCATAGATTCAACAAGGTGCTTGAAGCATTCCTCAGGAAGTTTGGTCCATATTGACATGATGGCATCACACAGTTGCCGCAGATTTGTCGGCTGCACATCCATGATGCGAATCTCCCGTTCCACCACATCCCAAAGATGCTCTATTGGATTGAGATCTGGTGACTGTGGAGGCCATTTGAGTACAGTGAACTCATTGTCATGTTCAAGAAACCAGTCTGAGATTATTCCAGCTTTATGACATGGTGCATTATCCTGCTGAAAGTAGCCATCAGAAGTTGGGTACATTGTGTTCATAAAGGGATAGACATGGTCAGCAACAATACTCAGGTAGGCTGTGGCGTTGCAACGATGCTCAATTGGTACTAAGTGGTCCAAAGAGTGCCAAGAAAATATTCCCCACACCATGACACCACCACCACCCGCCTGAACCATTGATACAAGGCAGGATGGATCCATGCTTTCATGTTGTAGACGCCAAATTCTGACCCTACCATCCGAATGTCGCAGCAGAAATCGAGACTCATCAGACCAGGCAACGTTTTTCCAATCTTCTATTGTCCAATTTCGATGAGCTTGTGCAAATTGTAGCCTCAGTTTCCTGTTATAGCTGAAAGGAGTGGCACCCGGTGTGGTCTTCTGCTGCTGTAGCCCATCTGCCTCAAAGTTGGACGTACTGTGCGTTCAGAGATGCTCTTCTGCCCACCTTGGTTGTAACGGGTGGTTATTTGAGTCACTGTTGCCCTTCTATCAGCTCGAACCAGTCTGGCCATTCTCCTCTGACCTCTGGCATCAACAAGGCATTTCCGCCCACAGAACTGCCGCTCACTGGATGTTTTTTCTTTTTCGGACCATTCTCTGTAAACCCTAGAGATGGTTGTGCGTGAAAATCCCAGTAGATCAGCAGTTTCTGAAATACTCAGACCAGCCCTTCTGGCACCAACAATCATGCCAAGTTCAAAGTCACTCAAATCACCTTTCTTCCCCATACTGATGCTCGGTTTGAACTGCAGGAGATTGTCTTGACCGTGTCTACATGCCTAAATGCACTGAGTTGCCGCCATGTGATTGGCTGCTTAGAAATTAAGTGTTAACGAGCAGTTGGACAGGTGTACCTAATAAAGTGACCGGTGAGTGTATATACATACAGAGGAATGTTTCTAAACTGTTATGTGAATGGCTCTAAACTTTGGAGACATTTTAGATCCTATTTTAAAGCTCAGCAGTGTTATTCACTTAATTTCTGTACAAAATGAGAGAGAAAGCACAAGGACTGTTAAAATTTTATAGACATATTTAGAATAGAATAGAGTAGAATAGCATAGAAAATCCCTTTATTGTCCCACGTTGGGGAAATTCCGGTGTTTACAGCAGCAAAAAGATTATAGAAAAAAAATGATCACACTAATGTGGACCTTAGAAAAATGTACTGTATAAAAATAGCACAATAGTGAAGAGTTAAAAGATAAACAAATGAAATACTGTACTGTAAAGTGTTTTAACAATAGAAATACTGTGCACCTGGAGAACAAATAACCAACATACAGCTATGGACATTTGTATTTGAAAGTAGCAGCAACATCAGAGATGTGCAAAATTACAGCAGCACGTTATTTAACTGACTAAGGTAGAAACTGTGTAAAATCAGCATGAATTTAACAATTTATTGAGGTTGTTGGGAACAGTGATGGTTATAAATCTTACAGCTGTTGGGAGGAAGGATCTGTGATAACGCTCCCTGGTGCATTTAGGGTACAGCAGTTTGTCACTGATGGAGCTCTCCAGTTCTGCAACAGCTTCATGAATGGGGGTATAAGCCTTAGATTATAGATTGTTGTGTGTTGCACAGTGACGCCACACCAGGATGCCACGTTTCTGTACACCGAGCCTCTGGGCAGAGTGATGGGAGTGTGGATCGCCTTGGAGGATGCGACTGTTAACAATGGCTGCCTATGGTTTATACCAGGATCACAGAATAGTAAGCACAAAAAATCCAGGGTTTTATCTCCTGGTTCAATTGGGTTTACATGTATTCCTTACTTTACCACCTCTTTTTTTAAGGTGGTATTTCCCGTCGAATGGTACGCACCCCGAAAGGCACCTTTCCACTGACTGACTTCATTGGAAGAGAGCGAACTTATGACGAGGAGAAGTTTGTAGCTGCACCTGTTAAAAAAGGTTAACGTACTAAAGCACGGCTTTGATTGGGAATTTTATTTGGATCAATTAAAGATGTGTGAGAGAATAAAATGCCTGATTTGGTCAACTGTCAAAATCAATGTTTGCTACCTTAATCTAAAATTTTATACTCAATTTATTTTCTATCTGCTGATTAGCCTGTTTGCATCAATGAGATAATCTTATTATCCCCAAATATATTCAGGCCTTAAAATAGTTCAGTTAAACCCATTCTAAACTGGTTTAATGAACTGATTCTGATCCATCTCTCTGCATTCAGGTGGTGTGGTTCTGATCCATGGAGAGGTGGTGCACAAAAGTGCTGAAAACACCTCTGAGGACTCTCGTCATGTCTACACCTTCCACATCATGGAGACTCTGGACACTCGCTGGAGCCCTGACAACTGGTGAGAACTGGTTTTAGTTTTCTATCATTTATTCTCTAAACATTCCCAGTTTAATAAACATTAAAGTCTAAGAAGGAATCAATGTCTAATCTTACTCGGATTTAATAAAAAAAACAACACAGATGTAAACATCAATTAGTATGCAGATTTACTTTTATGCACATGTAACACTTTCATTCTACCATAGAAACTATTAGATTATATTGTTTCTCTAACCACAATGTGCTTTATATTTGAATCGTTTTTATTTTTGTTTCCAAAATAGAAATGTAGCCTATTAAACTTGATTCCATCTGATTTTGTCCTCCTAGGCTGCAGCCCACTGAGGAGCTGCCATTTCCACCTCTTTACACCAAATGAAGAATGTCTCTGGCAGCTGGAGCTGAGCTCACAAAGGTGGACCAAGGAATAGTTTTATACTACGAGCATGCTGAACGAAGTCGTCTGCAGCAAGTTTTTGAGAATAATGTGTCATGACTTGGAGACTTTGGCTAATCTGACTTAATCTGACTTTTTGTTTAAATGTTTTCTGGTCACAGCTCCTGAAGTGGGCAAACTTACTCAAAATAGAACCAGAGAATTGACCAAACAGAACCTTGATTTAAAAACATAATTTCTTAAACAAAATCTTGTTTGCTATGGCTTATAAGGTTTCACAAACACTTCCAAAGTGAAAGCTGTGGATGTTTGTGAGGAGCTAATTCTTCTGTTAGATGACTGCGATGATGATGTTGTAAAAATGCTTTTTAATAATCAAAAACTGTATCATTAACAGCTCTTTTCTATAACTTTTCTTGGAGATGTTTATAAAATAATGATGTCAGTTGATTAGGGCAAGACAAGCTTGTAAAAGCAAAAAAGTATTGCACCAAAACTCTGACTCCACCTCTGATGATGACATGTTTTCTATACCCACATGGGGCCTAATGTCAAAATGCAGTATTTCATGCTTTCAAAAATAACGGAGGAATTTAGAACACCTAGTTATGAAATACAAAGATTTTTTTATTTATTTTTTTTTTTAGTACCCAATTGTCATTATCAGTTTGTTTAACAAACCTCACCCAACCTTAATCTAACAAAATACAGCTTGACCAAACTCAATTTATTACAATCAGAGTTGAACATTGACGTTCAGGCAAACCCTTGGAAGCTACAAAACCCCTGAAACCTGTTATTTAACAAAAATAAACATCTAAAGCTTTCTCTGTAGCCCTCCAGTAACCCACTATGACTGAAGTTGAAACCCACTACAAGAAAATCCAGTCTGTAAATAATCCTTCAAGACAATAATGAAACCATGTCTATTTTTTTAAACGTGAAAAATAATCACTGAAATAAACCTTAAGCTTTCATGATCTGTCTCATTGGTTGTTTTATTTGTTCATGTTTTTTGGGGATTTCTAGTGAGCTATTTAACATTTATATACTCCGCCATTAAGATTTTGTAAACATTGTCCTGAATAAAAATTTAACGTTGATTTACAGGATGTTTTAATTGTCACAATCAAATTCAATTTGGGGGATTTTATAAAACAAATCCAACACTTAGTAATGCATAGTTATAAAACGGAGGCCAAAAGATATGAACAGACATCCTTAAATTTATTAGAACTGTGTTCGCTGCAGGTACATATTTAGTCTAAATGGAGGAAAGTCTGTCAGATAGCAGCTTTAATCACCTGATTATAAGTCTTGGGGCATATTGTTTATGGCAGGCATCCCCAAACTCGGTCCTCAAGGCCCCCAGTCCTGCAGGTTTTAGAGGTTTCCTTGCTCCAGCACAACTGATTTTAATTGAAAGCTGATTAACAGGCTTTTGGTCTACTGCAATCATTATAACCAGCTGTGCTGAAGCAGAGAAACCTCTAAAACCTGCAGGACAGGGGGCCTTGATGACCGAGTTTGGGAATGCCTGGTTTGTGGGATTTAGATTCAACTCTGACCATTAGGTCAATAAGCACATGAAAAGGAGCGATATAAACCAGGGGTCTCCATCACTGCATCAGTTTCTTCAGACATTCATGGGCATCTCTGGATCCACACCTTTAAAATACATTGTCATTCTGAGGAGTTATTTTGGTTATGAGTTAGTTTTCAGTCATTATCCATGTCCGTCAGTTACATTTTGATCTTTTTCCATTCATCTGCCTTGTCCCCCATCATAACCCTCTTGGCTGGTCCTACCTGGGCTGTTAGGTCACATGGTCTGGATAGATTTGCAGTTGTGTCGGTCTTCATCTTTAGACGACCGGCGAAAGATGTTTGAAACTTGCAACGTTGTTTAATAACCTAAATACTGTTGTCAAATTCTTGATAATCTCATCTCTGATCTGTGTTCCTTGTTCATCATCATGTCTTTCTTTAACAAACCACTAAGGTCTTAATAAAAACAGCTGCCCATATTCTATGATCAAATTGAACAAAGATGACTTTTAATGAATAACTGCCAGTTGGTTACTCTAGGTTTTATTTTGATTTATCGATATAAAATGTACTAATCAGTAATAAATTATTCTGATTTTACATGATTACTATTCATCATTCTTTCTGAAGGTGAGTACAATAAAAAATAATTTAATTTTTTTCTATTCTAACTTTTTGATGGTATATAATATAAAAATCCCAATAAAATACATCAAATGTACCAAAATACTAAATGTACTACATGAGTTTTAAACATCAACATGTTGATCTTTTTTATTGAGAATCAAATTAAAAATGAAAAGGCTCATTTTTTGGGGCTTTTTAAAGTACAGTCATCCAGTTACACAAAAGCAATCACAGTCATCTATGAAGCACTCATCATGCAATAGTATAAGAACATAAAACAAGGAATAGTAAAGATAACAGCATACTACTATGCTAATAAACACATCAAATATTTAAAAAATATACATATAAACACTGATCAAGGATTGTACAACAAATTTATGTATAAATAATGAACTCGGACATTGTGACAGTTGCAAATACTTCTAGAAAACATTTTTGATTTATTTCAAATAAAATCTCACAGCCTGTTTAATAGTTTGACTAAAACATGCATCCTCAGTTTAGCAATGAAATAGACAATATGGGTTTAACTGTATTGGTCCAATTAAACCACAAACAAACTGCTCAAAATAAATATTTACTGTAAAATATAAATGTTACAGTACTGAAGTCCACATTAGTGTCATGCAGAATCATAAATAGAGGCAGCCATTGTAGGAAAGTGTTGCTTTAGTCTGCCAGGCTCTTACCTACATCTATTACAACAATCAATCACCTGTTAGAGATATTACACTTCTTAAGGCATAGTTTTACCGTGAGGTGGTTCATATTGCCATCTGGGAGTTATTACTAAAGAACCAAAGGGTTGATAAAGAGAGAAAACTTTAAATTATGTTCTTCCAAGGCAACGCAGGAATAAATTGGTTCCAAATAATGTAAAAAAAAAAAAACAATAAGAACACAACAATCAGTTATTTTGTGTGCCAAGTGTAATGTGTTCTCACTGTGCTCAACTCAATCTCCATTTGCATAATTTAAGAGTTATAGGTGTCAACGGGTCATCAGAATTAGGGCAGAAACTTACACCACTTGGTCACTGAGCTCATGTTTCTTTATAACCTGTTCCAGAAGCGATTAGAACCACTTGGCGACATTTTCAGCAGATTTTCTGTGTCGTTTGGTTTTATCTCTTCGTTCTCTCCTATGAATCCTAAAGGGCTTCTGCTATTGACTTTCCTTTAAGACATTTTCTTCATAAATTGTCTTCCTCACAATAAACATCTGAACACATCCATCCTTTCTTTTATTTGTTCATTTAAAGCAACAGCAGGATGAAGAGGTAGAGCGGGAGCAGCAGATTGTCTATCTGGGAGGTGTAGGCCTCCAGCAATGCCACCAGGGTGATAGAGCCAACAATCCATGAGTAGGTGGAGTTCAGATTGATGTTTGCATCAAAGATGAGGAACATCGCCACGGCTATGATCTGGGCAAACACGGACGTTGCTGTTCCCTCTAAGGTTTTCTTGGTCCCCGGCCAACGGATCTCCCCCATGGTGCTGCCAAAAACAGACGCCACGGTGTCTCCAACTCCCACTGCCAGCACGCCTGCATAAGGTACCAGGCCCCCTGCCCCGGGGAGGATCCCCTTGGGAGCACAAGGTCCAGGAAACAGCCAAATGGGCAAAGACATGCCAAGCAGCAGGTAAATGTGGGTCAGAATGAGAGGGCCAGAGTCCCGTTCGTCCAGGAACAAGGTGAGGAGCTGCCTGAGCAGCTGACCAAAAGGAAGAATTCGAAAGTACCGTACATACTCCAACAACAAGAAAACTGCCAAGCATCCCACAGACGCCACGTGGAGCAGCTGTCTGTCGTATATCAGTCCTGGAACATAGGTCGCCACAACGATCAGGTGGAAATACTTCCTGACAACCGTGGAGGCCTGGTGCTTCTTGGATCCCGACTGGCGCTTATAGTTCTGATGTAGAACGACACAGGTCGCTACGACCACCAGAAACACCCAATATCCAAGCAAACAGAGTCTTCGGTCATTCAGGGTGAGAAAGTCCAAAAGCCACATGATTGGGTGTCGGCCGATGAACAGCGACAGCCACGGCATCAGGATACCCAGAACCAGAACCGCTGTCATCATGTGGAAGAACAGGGAGGACACCCAAGTCTCAGACTCCATGAAGCAGAAGAGCAAGGCGAAGAAAACACCCAACAGCAGCGAACCAACAACCACCACTGGCAGGAAGTAGTTCACTGGATCCCCCTTTACCTCTGCCAGGTTCAGCGAGCGCTTGATGAGCTGGTTTACGATGAAACTTATTCCACCCACAATGAGGAGAGCCTCTCCTGGTGTGAAGCACCGTGGAAGCAAGTAAAGAACAATCAGGCAGAGATAAACAAAGATCAGCAACACCTCTAGGACCTCGATGACCTCGGACACTGTTAGGGTCTGCTTCGTCGCGTAGAGGATCGCGCTGCCGGACAATCCTGCAATTATGCATGTGTTGGTTGGGACGGGTCTTGTAATACCCAGAGCGATCAGGGAGAGAAACAGAGCCAGCATCATTCCTGTGATGGTAATCACCATGGAGAAGCGCTCAAAGTAGACATTCCCTGAGGCAGAGCACTTTTCTCTCAGAACCAGGCCCAGCAGTGGCATAACCATGGAAGCTGGAACGATACCACTGTTAGCAGATGGACGGAACTGGAACACCGCAGCACCGGACTTTAACAAGCGATCCCATTTATACTGGACGTAGAATGCCTGAATGACAAGGGCTACGCTGCACCAGGAGTGCTGGTTCCAAACCGCCAAATGGACGCAAAGAACCACAGCCAGGATGACTACGGACTCCACAAGGACTGGGTTTACTTGCATGGTTTCAGTGAGAAGGAGCCTGTAGGGAGATATGGGGGGAGGTGAGCCGAACAGGTGATCCGAAGCAGTTCAGGATATCTCGTCACTTCCTTTTTATATCAGTCTTCATCACTTGGCAGGTGTGTCTCACATACGACTGACATCTATAAATAATAAGAGGAAAGGATTCAATTAAATCAAAAGTAAATAGTAGCTGTTACTGAATTAAACACAGTAAAAATTATTTTCTTTGGGTTTAAATGGGCCTTTTACACTTTTTTATTATGTTGATTTTATCTGTCTTTTTTTTTGCAATGAAATCTATTAGAATATACTAGAATAGAATAGAAAATCCCTTTATTGTACCACAATGGGGAAAAGAAGAGCTCAGTTTAAAAAAGAATGTGGTGAGTGTGAGAAATACCCTGACCGAGCACGTGGGTGGGAAGCCCAGGAGACGTGGGTGATCTTTTTACACCAGCTGCAACCTTTGTTCCTGTGGGGGTGGAAGTAACCTCAGATCAGGAATTTTTTTTTTCTAAAAATATCAGGAATTTTTTAGAGGGAAAACTGAGAACACAGCCTCACATTTTGCTTATATTCCTGCATAAACAGTTCACTGGGTGTTGTTTCAGAGAGGATGCTGCAACCTCAGACGGCTGACAGTGAAATCCAGCTGATTGCAGCCAGTTAGCCACTGAGAACCGACAGAGGGGTTTTGCAGCCAAAATAGTGCCACAAAAAGAAGAAACAAGAACACCTACCTCACAAGTAGAGCTATACCTAGACCAGCATGCAAGGTGACAGAAAGAAGTTCCGTCGTTTCTATGTAGATCTGTTCGCTTTGTCAGCTGTCGCTTCTCTCACAGCTTGCAGGAGGGAGCCATGTTTGACAGCCATATCACGTGTTACAATCAGAACCCTCACCGCTAAGAAAACTAGCTTCTTCTTCTTCTTTTTTTATGGCGGTTAGCAAGCAACTTATTGATGCGCATTACCGCCATCTACTGGAATGGAGTGTGAATCGGGAAGCTATTTATAAATTCTCCCACAAAACAAACAAACAAATAAATAAAATACCATTATAATAATTAATTTACTAAATCTTATATTCTTTCTATTGATTTCGTTTTCTTAAGGTAATTCATTAAATTAAAAAAAGTAGAAAGCTTGTCCAAAATATCTTGTATATTTAATTGCAATAAATTTTCTGTAATCGACTAACTCCCTTCTCTTAACAGAATATTTAAATATAAAATATTTAAAACAGACTAAAAAAACATGTTTTACTGTCTCTTCTTGAAAACAAAAATTTCTATTTTGTTGGATGTTTTCCCATTTTAAATAATGTACTATTCAAAGAAAACTACTTTTTTTCATGATTCATTTATATTGTGTTCTAATAATAATAATAACAAAAATAATAATAACAACAACAATAATAGCGTAGGTTATTACGTTTTAATTCTAGATTTTTATATTTTATAAAATAATATGGAGGTAAAAGTAGATTGCCTGTCTATTAATGGGGGTTATAAAATGTTTTTTTTTTTTTTTTTTTTTTTTTTTTTTTTTTTTTTTTTTTTTTTTTTTTTTTTTACCGGTTTTAAAATCAATTTGAAATGTTTCACAATTTTACCGTTTGTTTAAAATAAGCACAATGACAAAATTATTTTTGGAAAATATAAAATTAAAGCCTGATTTTTACTTGTTCTCTCCAAAATTTTAGTTTTATTTTTGATCACTCTTCTCCTGTAACCGTACTTATACTTTAACTGTTGTTCCAAACGCTCTTTTAGCTTTCAAGTCACAGCCTGTTCATAGATACAAGTCTTTTATTGGTATTGTTCTTTTAAAATAAATAATCCAAAAAACATAATGAATGTTCATTGACTCAAAAAGAAAAAAAAATAACTAAAATTATGACTTTTTATGGGACTAATCATTACATTTCTAGGGGATTAATTTTGGGGCAGTTTATACCATCAAAACTTTTGTAACTGAGACCCGATACTTCCACTCAGGCAAGTATTATAAAGACGTGATTAATAAATTGTATATTCAATATCTATATAAATTACAGAAAAAAACAGACGCAAACTAAGTCAAAATCGTGAAATCATGCCGTTATCTTCGTTTAAATTGAAAGCTCTCGTAGTAGTGTCAGAATCCTTTCTCATTATTCAAATCTTTCCATCAGCTCGAAGCAACATATGACCTGACGTACTAACCTCTGTCCAGAAGATAGCACTAAAGCGAGCTTGAAGACGAATATTAACAACAGAAGAAGAAGATAGTGTGACGGTGATCCTCGTGAATGGACACAAGAAGTGTTTGAGGCTCGGTGGATGGTCGTTTGGTGCATGGCGCGTGTTTTGAAGCTGCTTATGGAGAAATGTCTTGGGCCGTGAGTAGTGAGGAAACAGGAAGCGATTCTTGTGGGATGGAAGAGGGAAATAGTGACAATGAAGGTTGGAAAATAGCAACATCAAAAAATGAGAAAAAGCGGAAAAAACAGAGATCAGTTCAAGGGGAATCTAGTTCAGAACAATCCAGTGATGATCATTCCATACATTCCACAGCACAACAAAATGAATTCAAAGTCATATTCAAAGTCGTTAATCAGGCAGACTCTTTTACAAATTGGAATCCGGTTCACTTAACAAAAACCATCAATAAACTTGTCGGAGAAGTCAAAGGTGCCAGAATTCTGTACAGTGGAGACCTGCTAATTAACTGCAGAGACAGCGCCCAGCAAGGCAAAGCAATACGTATCAACAAAATTGACGGGATAAGAGTTCAGTGCAGCCTAATGGAGAACAAAAAGATCAGCAGGGGAGTCATTGGAGGAGTTCCTCTAAAAATTTCTGAAAAAGAGATTCTGGAAAACATAAGCGGTGCAAAAGTAAAAGAAGTAAAACGGTTAAAAACAACAAGAAACGGAGAAAGATCTGACAGTTTATCTGTGCTAATTAAATTCGAAGAAGAGCAATTACCAAGCAAAGTATTCATCGGTTACATAAGCTATAATGTCAAAATCTACAATCCTCCACCATTGAGATGTTTCAAATGCCAAAAATTCGGTCACGTTGCAGCAGTTTGTAAAGGGAAACAGAGGTGTGGAAGGTGTGCAGGAGAACATGAGTACGGAAAATGTGGAAAAGAAGCTAAAATAAAATGCTGTAATTGTGGTGGAGAACATACTGCTGCCTATCGCGGCTGTGAAGCAAGCAAAAGGTCTGAGGAAATTAAAAAAATGAAATTTGAGCTCGGAATAACCTACGCTGAAGCTGCAAAAAGGATCCCATCTCAGTCAGAAAAACCCAAACCTACAGTTCAACACACAGCAAATTCCAAACCTCTAGAGAAATCTCCAAAAATTAATGAAGACTCACTTATTGTTAAAAAGACAAATTTTGTTCTTTTCATGGTAGAAGTAATTAATTGTACTGCACAGACAACAAAAAAAACGGAAAAAATCAAAATAATAGTGAAGGCTGCAGAAAAATATCTGGACATTAAAGATTTGAACTGGGAGATGGTTGGAAGTATGATGGGAGGACCGATGGGACCATCAGAAACTGGCAGAGTTAAGATGACCTAGAGTAAATTAAAATTATATGGGCAAATGTGATTTAGTATTATGTTGGTTTAAGTTACACAGGTTTTTTTTTTTTTTTTTTTTTTTTTTTTTTTTTTTTTTTTTTTTTGGGGGGGGGGTGAATCGTTTCCTGTTATCTTGCTTTACTCCATATCAGTTGGTGGCGGTAATGCACAATTCACAAGTCTGCCAACCGCCATAAAATCCCATAAGAAGAAGAAGAAGATAGTGTGACGGTGCTGAGCACTGACCAATCACAGAGCCGGAGCGAAGATGGCGGAATCGGAGATGAGCGTTAGGTGGGTTTACAGCCACACACTTCATTTAACATTTAGATTGTCTGAATTATTTTAACAAAAATATTAAGGAGAAAGTATATTCGAACGAAGCCCCGCATATTAAACGGAAGGCGTCGGTACATTTGACGGTCTGTCTTTATAACTATTAGCGCCACGCTCCGTTAGCTTAGCAACTACTGCTAATATTTGAAAGGCTATTCTTCAGTGCGGCGCCGCATGTCAACAACAGGAACAAAACTTACCGAGTGATGTTACTTTTTTTTAATGAAAACACCACGTTAATTCGAATTAGACTCTCTTTTAGTTAGTTTCTTCAACAACTATTAAAATTAAACTGCCATTAAGTGTTTAGGGGGAAAAGCCACGCAGCTGTTTGTTACACACAGGACCACGAAATTGGCTTACATTTATTTTTAGTATAATAGTTATGAATTTAGAAGTTTTAGTTTAAGCTATATATCCATGTCGATGGAATATCACACTTACATTGCAGTTAAGTATTTTCTTTGAGAATGCAGTTTTTTAAACGTTGATATAGCAATCATAGTGCAGATGCTCTGTCTAGTGTCGGAAAATTTTGATTTCTCTTATTTCATATAATAATTTATCCTATTTACTCATTATAAAAGTTTTCACTCAGTCTCTTTCACCTGCAAGGCCACACAATGCCCCTGTGTGAAGATGTTTGTTGGCCAGACATAGCTTCTTCCCAAAACAAGCCAGATTCTTTCTCAAGCTTTATTCATAACATGTTACTGTTAATCAAAGTGTCTGTAAATTGTTTTGACTCAAACTACTTTTTCATTGTTGTAAGTAAGGGGGAACAAATGCTGCTCAGGCAAAACAAGACTGAATGCTGTGCCATAAGGGCTGTACGATGAACTGTTCTCTCTTTGCAAAAATTTGTTTAAAAAAAAGTGGAGACTGAGTGAACTCCATCAATCTCCGATAATTTAACTAGGGTGAATAGTTGAATATTTTTTCCCACTACACTAGCTTCGTAATGAACATATACTCAGTGCATCTTGAGGTGATTTGCCATTTACTACTGTGAAGTAGCGATCATATCAGCTAAAACACAATCAAGTACCAAAGGAATCAGGACATGGATGTTGACATGTGTTGGGTTTATAAACTCTGCACAATTTGTGCTCCACATTCAAACTGCCTTATCCTGTGTTCTGTATCACACGTTGCTAATGTTCATTTCCAGCAGTAGTTTACCTAAATACACCACTTTCATCTCTTTCAGGAGCTGTCGAGAATTATGGACTATTTTGTTGGGGAGATCTGCATTGAGGGAGCCGGTATGTCTCCTCATTTCTTCTATGACTACTTTGAACATTTAATTGGTCAGTTTACTTTTGGTACTTCTAGCTCCTACTCCAATAAAAGAAAAACATGTTTGTTTTGGAACGTTGCAGGCTCAGATAGAGGGAGAGCTTGACAGAAACTGGGACAGACTGCATCAAGGACTTGGTTACTACAAGCTCCCCAGGTACAGGTTTAAATCATTTTGCAACATATGCATTGTTATTTATAAATGAATGACTAATGCAGGGATGTCAAGCTCCAGTCCTCAAGGACCGTTGTCCTGCAGCTTTTAGATGTCTCCCTGCTCCAACTTACATGAACAAGAATCTCCTCAGTTCTCCAAATTCATGCTAATTACCTAATTATTGAATTAAGATGTGTTGAAGCAGAGACTCCTCTAAAAGCTGCAGGACACCGGCCCTCAAGGGACTACAGTTTGGCATCCGTTGACTAATGGTTAGCTTCTTGTCCTGTAGCTCATCCTCTGCTGGAAAAGTGAAGGATAACAAAGATGTAGCACAGCCTCTAAAGGACTTTGGGTTCAGGATCAGTAAATTGTTGGTGAGTTTTCTTTTAGTTTCACATGCATGCATTGGATGTCAGTGGGTGTGCTAAGCTTTGCGTTCTTAAATGTCACAGAATCTGGACGAGCAGCAGAGCGTGCAGCTTTTACAGTGGTACCTGCAGGAGGACTACAGAGGAACTCAGGACTCGTTAAAAGTATT